TGTATATTACTGGCACTGAATTAGAAATATGTTAGTTTGGACAAGGAAACCCGGAATTTTTGAGATCTATAGAGAAGCTAGGATAGGGCTAACATCAATGTAATACACGCCAGCAGGATTGAGCTCAAGATTGTCGCCATTCAGTGTAGCCAAGTGGCCCCCTTTCTCCAGTTGGGAAAGAAGATACTTCCAGGTCGTGTTCAACCATGATTTCTCCATCTGCTTCCTCCAAATCACAGGGGCCGCAATGTGCCAGGGTAACGCGTCATGGCCTGAGATTTCTTCTACGTACCTCGATCCCTAGCCTTGCCAGAGAAGGCCGGAGCTCCTGGTCGCATGAGGTGCGCAGACATAAAGCCCTCTGCACTATACAAAAAAACCACAGGGGTATTTGAGCTCATAAGATGGATAACGTGGCCAGTGTTGATATGGGTAGCTTTGTGTTCAACGAGGGTCCAAGTGCCGATAAGCCTCTGACAAATTTTTTGATAGAATGCACTGCGGATTACATGGAATGTTCCAGTTTTCTTGAAATTTATGGAAGCGCAATTTTGATTTGATAATGATAAGATGGATCTTATTGAGGTTGGGACATGTTCATTGGTTTCATACCAGCTCCGGGGATTTACAACTAGAATATCCTGGAGGGGAATATCTCTGAGCTTTTTATAGTATCTCAAGCCACCGATCTCCGATTGAACAGGTTGTACAGCATTTCCTATCGTAGAAGCTTGGAAATAAAACATCAAAGCTGTGTGACGAGTCAATAGTGAGTAGCCAACACTTCATTATGTTGGGCGCTATGGTTGCATAGCGGTGCTGAGTCTCCGTAGATCACTTTTGATTCTCACACATTCTAGGATCCGTGGGCGATATTAGCCACCTGTCTTCTCCATTAAGTCCAAGTCCAATTCTTTACCCTTGCTCTTACTCCCTAGGGCTGCCCTCAGAACCCAAGATCATCAACTGGGTCGAGCAGCCACACAAACCCAAGTCTTGTCGTGTCATGCATTATTGTGTTCTTTCGGGTAAATTCTAAAACTTGGCGGTTAGAAATCAAGTACATTGAGACCTATCACTAATCCTCGAACGTATTGACCCCGGAAGTACTGTTCACAAGGACATGGTGCCTTGTGGAAGCGCCCTGGGCTGCATAAGTTTGAAACTCGTGGATTGCTCTCTAAGACCTACTTATAAAGCGGGGACAGCCTCAAGCAGTTAGTTAACGGCGTTAACATGTTTCGTCTGAATGGCAGGGTCTAGATGGCAGGGGTTTCCGAGCGGGGCGGATTGAGCTGGCGCTTAACCGTCGAAGGTGCCCTCTGCTCTATAAAATACGATGAATACTTCTCTTGAAAGACCTTCTACTACTCAAGTTTACATTCTCAAAAAGCCTGCCTACGTGCTACCGCCCAGGGATTATCAGTCCAATTGCCACAAATACAACAAGAATTCTAGCAGACATGGAACTCCCAGCGCGTCCAAGCACTTCTCAGCCACTCAGAATCCTTTCGCTCGGTTAGTTCCCTTATTCCCTCCAAGTAACTCGCGAATTTCACTGACAACATTCAGATGGCGGTTGTATTCGCGGGATCTCGAGTCTGCTGATTCTAGAAAGAATTATGGAAAAGATCCGCGATGTTCAACATCTTGACCGTGTCCCACGCCCGTGTGAGAGCATTTCGATTTGATCGGGGGTACCAACACTGGAGGGTGTGTTTATGTATCCCAGGGATAGATTTGGTTCTGTTAACATTCTCAAATTATCATCGCCATAATGCTCGGTCGGCTTGGAATGACCGTGGATGAATGCATTCGAGTGTACCGAACCGTTGGGAAGCGTGTTTTAATTCACAAAAAACACGCCATTATCCCAGTGCGGTCTAATGGAGCTTTCTCGGCTGGGGTATTCGAGGAAGCCATAAAACAGACTGTCAGAGAGTTCTGCACGAACGAAGAATGTGTCAACCGTCGGCGCAATGGCCTCTCGACAACATGCCAGCACTCTGATCTCCCCTTCCGCGATCAGACATGCACCAAAACGTAAGTTGGTCTTCACCGCGGGGCTTAGGATGGTATTGACAAATACTTCAAACAATAGAGTTGTTCTTGCCTTAACGAAGGTAAATGTCACCGCACGACCTACGCTCTTCCGAACATATGACCAATCAACTTCGTTGAATGGTTGTACTATTTGGCAAGTGGCACGGGCTACCTCGGCTGCGACCACCTTCTTCAAACCAATGAAACTTGGTCGAGATGAGATTGAGGATATTGATGCTGGACTTGGGTATAACAACCCATGCGACAAGCTTATTGGCGAAGCTAAGAACGCGTTTCCTGGACGTACCAACTTGCAGATTCTGAGCATCGGAACCGGCATTTGGAACGTGATAGAGATAAATGATAAACGCCCGTCTGTTATTGACGCAATGCAGAAGATGCAGAAGATGGCGATATGCGAAGTCAACTTTGCAAATACTTTCCGGTCAGCGACAACGGTGTCCTCTTGATTACGACCCGTTTCAGTCGTGTGGCACAAGGTTTCGCATCGCCGAGAGATACATTCAAAATTCCAGAAATGGATACAGACTAAGCAATGATTTATTTCGAGAAGCTCGTGGCAAGAGATCTTATCCACGATCGAAAGATGGCCAAAAAGCTACTCGAAGAGCTGAGCTGGTTGCCTTTAGCTATTAAACAGGCAGCCTCCTACATCAAATTCACCAACATGTCAATTCCACGTTACCACGATCTCCTAAATGGCACAAACAAGGACAAAGAAACTCTCACGAGTTGGAATTTTCCTGATGAGACTCGCTATCCCCAGCTCCCAAATGCCATTGCTAGGATATGGCGTATATCTTTTGAAAAGATCAACAGTTCAGATCCTATCGCTGCTGATCTCCTGAAGATAATGTCTTATATTGGATCGGAAGCAATTCCACGATCTCTCTTGCCCCCTTACAAATCGGAAGCGCAACCGGAATCTGCGATTAGTTCGCATGTGGATATGCATTCGTCACCAAGAGAGAAGATGGAATCATTCTTGACATTCACCCTTTAGTTCAGCTAGCGACCCTACTATGGATTGACCAAAAAGGCGAAACATTTAATACAATCAAGAGGGTCATGCATTGTGTGGTAAATAAATTGGCACCTGGGGGCCAGGTCAATGACCAGATGAAAAGGACCTACGTACCACATGCTCTGGAGCTTCTTCGAAAGACCGAGGGGCAATATATGGACGAAAGGCATGAGCTCACCTCAAAGATTGCGTGCTGCCTCACAGATGATGGCAATACGAGAAAGGCCGAGAGATTATTGGAAGAGAAAGTCAGGTGGGGTCAAAGTCGCTATTTTGATGGACATGCCTCTGGACTAAAAAACACAAACATCGTTCTTGGGAGAATATGCAGCAGATGGGAAGGCGAAGAATGCCGTGGAGCTGAGTATATCGTCAGAAAGTGGGGAGGCTACAGGGTTTGTAGGACGATTTGGGAAATGGAGAGTAACTAGACATATGAGCTCAAGTTTCAAAATGGATAAACTGTCCAATGAAGTTGACTTGCGAGAGATGTGCGATTCCAGTCTGGTTCAGGGGTGGTCAAACGATATGTGCCTTTGCAAGCACCACTGAGCAGGTCATAGGCTAAATGTTCTTAAAGTCTTTGGAAACAAAATTTGAAGGGAATCTCAATTTCAATTCCTCTGATTACATTAAAAGCCATCAAGTAGCAGAAGTGAGGGCCGGAAAAACTATTCTAATCGGATGATACTTTGGCAGAGGACCATGCCCGGATGCGACCTCCCCAGTACCAGAAGCATACAGGCACTGGGATCAGGCAGACACTCACGGCACCCAGAATCGTTATAGAATGGGGGACTCCAAGCTTCTCAAACATCTGGGTGGCAAAAAGAGGAAAGACAGCCCCAAATAAGCTGCGCATCGACCCATTGACTCCCATTGCACTGTTTGCCATTGATGTGTAACAATCCACGATGTAAATGAACCCCTGGATAAAGAGCAAGTACATACCACACCCTATCAAAAGGCTTGCACAGAGCGGACTCGGCCATGGAATACTTGGTTGTGCCGTCCAAGCAAACCAGAATATCCCAATGGGGATGAGCACTCCTCCAAGTATCATTGGTGGTAGCCGAGCTTCTGGAATGAAATTTCCATCGGAAGAATAGCAGTGGTGTCTGAAGTAGGCCTGGTTGTAGATAATAATCCCAAAAGTGCCTATAAAAACTCCAGTGACTATCCCAAGAAGAGGCAGAGTATCGACACTAGTGTTCCAACCACGGATCTCTCCGAAGTAATAGGGATAAGCCTGGTAGAAGAGATAAATAACACCGTAGAGAAAAGATTGATACAGGGTCAAAAGGGCGAGGATAGGCTGAGTAGAGAAGAGCCCTATCAATTTGGAAAGAAACAATCAGTATCGTCAAAAGGCACAACAGGAGATATTGGTCAAGACGCACAGAAAGGCCGCATGAGATATACCCGAGCAATCTCATACAGACCGGGGTTTTCTTTTTCCAGTGTAGAGTGGATGGCAAGATGTTTGTATTTTTTGCGCAGTGATCGGGCTTCCTTTCGAAGAATAGCCGGGGGATAGGTCTCTGGAAAGACAAAGACTGCTATAGCGCAAACTCCCAGCCCGGATATTAACATTACCCAGACAGTCCAGCGCCAACTCAAGGACGATCCGACAATAGCACTCCCAACTATCGGTCCAAGTGTCGGGCCAGAGAAGAACAAGCAGATCACGATAGGCATGGCGATACTGCGGTGGGCCAGCGTAAAACAATCGCTTGTGATGCCTCCCATAACAGCCACTGGAGAGATTCCAAAGAACCCAGCAAACAACCGACCAACGAGAACAGTTTGTATGTTTGTACCAAGCGCAGGCATAAGTTCCAGGATGGAGGAGATTGCGATGCCACAGATCATAGGCCATTTGCGGCCGAACTTTTCCGAAAGAGGGCCGAATGTAAGAAACCCGAAGATATATCCCTTTGGAGAGGTTAAATAAGAACTAGCAATGTGCAAGTGAGTTGGAATTCCGACACTTACCGCCATAAACATGGTAGTGCAAAGAATCGCCACCTCGTTGCTAACCCCAAACTGCTCGGCGATCTTTTTGTGCGCAGGGCCCATGATGCTGCTGCTGATTGTTCCGATGAGATTGAACACGGATAAAATGACAACTACAAGGATTTTCTTGGCCAACGGCCAGTTTTGGGGGATTCGAGGGTCATTGGGATATTCAAAATCAATGAGCAAATCACACCCCTGTGGTGCCTCTCCCTTGACCTCAACTTCTATGGCATCAGACCCCATCTTCTGTCCAGTTTGGGTATTGGATGATCCTTATCGAAGGAGGGAAATCATTCACGACCGGTGATCGAATGGCGAGGATCGCAAGGATTCATAGAACTAGAATCATATCATCCAGCCTATGTAGTGATGGACCATGCAAAAACGAGCTCTTCGGTTCAGTAAACCGGGATTTTTAAGTTCTCGGGCACAAAACCGAGTGTTTTGCAAGAATGTTAATTCCCTTTCTGAATTTTTTTCTCGATGGATGTGGAGACACTGAATCTTCAGAATCAACCGTTGAACTGCTTTTGTGGGTCCTTCATAGTCATTGTATTTGGAAGTTCTAGTTTAAAAGTGGTTCAATCTCCCTATTTGGGGCATAATTCCCTCAATTTCTTCATGGGATCATCCCATTGAAGCTAGAGACTCGAAATTGCACTGCAGAATAGGAAAATAGATGCGGAGTGGGAACCCATTTTTGTTTCGCCCAAAGACCGTGGAAGGCCGGGTCAAAACCCGGATCCTCTTAGATAGGGCTTGGCACTAAAAATTCACTTCACCGGCCAATCACATCGGGAATGTCAATTGACACCTTTTTTCAGAGATGAAAGGGCACCGGGAACTATTTCAAACGGCGTTTGCTTGTCCAACTCGCCTTGTACTATACCAATTTTGCACCCATCATACCATTTGAGCACCTAGTACTCCGTATGGAGAACTCCGTGGTAGGCTTTTATTCTTCACCTGCTTGTCAAAATATAGTATAGAGTATAAAGTACATAAAGCACAGTGCCAATCAAAAATCCAAACTTGTGTGGGTCTGACATGACTAATGAGACCAATTTCGAACCTTTCTGCACGCTTATTTATTCAAATCCCGTGTAGCTATCTAATTGCAACTGGCCTGCAGCAGCTTCTTAGGTAGCACGATCATATTTCTCCCCAAGTCCCTTCAAGACAACCTTTACCAAACCTCCTAATGTACCTGCTCGGTTGATTTCCACAGTAGGAATCTCCAAGCCCAAGGATCTCCGGAGCCAATTTCTTACCTCTATAGCCATGAGGGAGTCCACTGCCATATTGGCCAGTGCCTCACTGTCATCTGCAGAGTCTGGTCCCTGCTCCTGCGTCTGCCCTGTTAGATTATGGCTGATGAACTTGCCGAGTTCCTTCATCAAGGCGACCTCGGTCTCCTTCTTGCTCGTCAACGAGGGATCCGCTTGTATCTGAGCAAGGAGAGCTTTTAGCGCATTTGCATGGGAGGATTGATCCCCACCAATACCATCACTGGTCGACTCAAGGTTGGGATAAATCGAAAATCGAGCGTCTCGTCCACCTAGGAAGATTTCCTTAGGTAGATCGGCGCGGCGCCTCGTGTGTGCGAGTCCCATTGCCACTGCCCCAGTCGGGTTAGAACTATTAACCGGGGATAGGTTGATCGCCGCGGCGAGTCCATCAATCACTGCAGCGTCATGGAGCACATGCAGCGCGATCGATTGTACTCTCTGGAGGAATCGGGGGTTGCGACTTGCGGCACCCACGTCTCCAACCACTCCGAGGTGCAAGATAGAAGAAGGGAGCCCTTGCTGCCGTCGATATCGGGTGAACGCTTCCAAAAATGTAGTTGCTGCTGCATAATTGGCCTGGCCCGTGTTACCGCACACCCCGGCAATAGAGCCAAAGACAACGAAGAAATCTAGTGGGTGTTCTGATGTGGCATGATGCAGATTCCAGGTTCCAGTGACTTTCGGAGCCAGCGCAGCCTCCCACTCTTCGTGGCTCATCTGCAGGAAGAGCCGGTCCTATCATGACGTCATGAGATGTTGCGTTCTGGCGAGAAAGGAGAGAAATGCTTACATTTAAGTCAACTGCCATCTGGAGGACACCAGCAAGGGGCCGCGTGCATGTGGCAACAGCCTCCTTAACATCCTTGAGATTCGTCACATTGCCTGGGACACAAATTACGTGGCAACCTAGAGCCTCAAGCTCCCGAACAAATGCTTGATCCACCTCGGATTTTCCAGCCGACCGCGAGAGGAAGATGAGCTCTCGCGCATTCTGCTCAACCATCCATGTTGACACAGATCGCCCAATACCACCCAGCCCGCCAATCAGCAGATAAGCAGCGTCGGAACGGAATGTTGGGAATTTTTTCACAGCAGGAGGAGGCAAACGCTCCACAGAGGATGGCATACGCACCAAAATCTTACCCAAGTGAGTGCCAGCTTGCATATACCTGAATGCACTGACAATATCGACCGCATCAAAGACTTTCACAGGTTTAATAGGTCCGATTTTGCCTTGACGATGCCAGTCTGAGAATGTTGCCAGGGTGCTGCAAGAGTTTAGTCAGCCTTTCAAATTGAATATCAGCAGGTGACAAACCTTTTGAGGATTTCTGGGGTCTCTTTGCAAACCTGTGCGAGGTCAACGCCGAAAAACGATCGGTTGGCTTCGAAAAGGCTCATATTCAGCATTCCGTGACTGATGAAGTCACGTTTTCCTAGTTCAACCATTCGACCGAACTTCGCAACACACTCCCACGAAGCGTGTAACAAGTTACCCGACAACGAATTGAGCACTAGATCAACTCCCTTTCCCGCGGTGGCACGCATCAGGTCTGGTTGGAAGGATGCGTTGCGAGAGTTGAAGATACGTTCTCGACATAAACCAAAATGTTCCATCAAATGGGCTATCTTTTTGTCGTTGCCGACAGTAGCATATATCTATTGAGCGATGATCAGTTCCCATAGCGCCATATCATTCGCCATAAGATGGGCTGACCTCGGTACCAACAGCCTGGCAAACTTGTAGTGCAGCTAGCCCGACCCCGCCGCATGCGGAGTGAATGAGAACGGACTGTCATAATTTCAGTTCTCGTAAATAGACGAACAGGAAAAGAATATTGACTCACCTGGCCTTTCTTCAAAGCACCTATTTCAAGCAGCGAGTAAAGAACAGTGACATAGGCTGTTAACATTGTGGCGGCATCTTCCATCGACAACCCCCGTGGAAGCTTGATACAAGCTTCTTGAGGCACAACAACGTTCGAGGCCAGAACCCCAGAATGCATCAAGACGACACGGTCCCCTACGGTGATGTCCGTCACATCGGCTCCAACTTGAAGCACAATGCCGCTGCCTTCGAGTCCTAGATCTTCCTTGCTGCCGAAGAAGCCCATTGCAACCATCATGTCCTAAAACAGATCGATCAGCAAGCTATGCAAGATTTTCTTGGGGCGATGGACATCTACCTTGAAGTTCAATCCTACGTAGTCCATCTCAACTTCAACACGTCCCTCATTTAGCTCATAGGATGCCTCTTTCTCTTCCCAGTGCAGTGTATCCAACAGCCCGTAGGTCGTGATAGATAATTTTCGGGACGAATCAGGACTGGGTGGACCTGCCAGATGCTCGGCAAGAGGTGTCCAGTGGTACCGCCCGACCTTAATCTCGCCTTCACATAATGCAAATTCATACTCTGGATCACGAAGGGAGTGGGCGCGAGATCTTTGTATCTTCTCACACACCTGTACCATGGCTTTTGCACCAGCCGCGTCCCATGTGGGGACCTCTAGAATTGAGAGGTCAAGCATTAGCTCCGCCCGTAAAGTGCGGGCGAGCCCATGGATGAAGCCAAACATTGGATCCGAACAGGTGAGAGATGTTGACTGCGTGATCCACAAGAATTGGCATTCTTGAGCCTGCTCTATGTAGCGCTGGAACAACTCATAATCATTTTTCGTCAAGGAACCTATTGGGGGTCCATCGAGATCCAGCAGAGATACAACAAATTTGCCCTTGGGTGGAGTTTCTTGTAAAGTGGTCCAGTTAGTAATGTAGCCTTTGTCACGGACCTGCAACTCGACATCACACGCCCACTGACACGGGATAGAATTGCCAGTGAGAAGCCAGATTTCGTTAGGAATGGGGATCTTGTCCACTGGTCGAGACAACATGCTGGCAGATATGTGATATGGCGGCTTTTGATCATAAGCTACTACATCTACTCCAGTGAAACCGGCAGCTCGTAGCTCCTGATCCCATCGCTCAGGCGAGATAAACGGTTGCTTTGATCGGTCATCATCTTCCCCCAGCCACCAGCCGGGAAATACGCCCTATAGCATAGCATATAAACAAACGGACAATCTGACCAGACAAAACTCGCACCTACCATGGTGAAATTTGGAATTAAAATTTCTAAATCATAGTCAGTTTAGTCATCCAAGGCTGAGGGGTTCGACATACCCGGGCTAATCTCGTGGAGTAAGAAGCGACCGGTGGGCTTTATGAGACGATGCACATGGCAAAGTGCGGAGTGAAGACTCGGGGTAGCGTGGAGGACCTGGTGATGGACGTGAGCTTAAGGTTGTTCGAGGCATTCTAGTCAAACACTCACATTGGAAGCGATGATCAAGTCAAAGCTATGGGCGTCAAACCCTTGTTCGAGGGGATCTAGGGTGATATCAAGAACTTTGTATTCCATGGCCTGCTCATGACCAAATCTCTCTGTTGCTGCAGTCATAAAGCCAGAGGAGATATCAGTAAAAACATACTGACTATACATACGCTCCCCACTGGCAGATTTTAGAAGTTCCAGAGCCATTGCGGTTGCAGAGCCGGTGCCTGCGCCAATCTCAAGTATTTGTAGGCTGGGGTTGGAATGGCAGAGTAATGGTAGGAGCGGCTTCCAATCGGCATACTGTGTGTGTGCAGCGTGGAACTGGTGCAGCAGGTTGTCTTTCATGAGGACTTCCAGTGGACTACTTTCTCCAGATGTAAAGTCTGTGGAGTTGTTGAACACGACCTGCAGGCATTCCGCAAGTGGAGCATCAAAGGTAAATTTGGTCTCCGCCAACACCTTCCGTATCATTTCCTGTCTGTCCGCAGAGCTTAGTAATGCCCACTGAGGTGACTCTGGGTAGATAAATTCTTGTCCGCTTGATTTGATATTGAAGGCTGCATCCTGCATGAATCTCTTCCATTTTGCGAAATGTGATGATGTTGGTTCGACATCTCGAATTTTCTCTGCTGTCTCCAGAACAAAAAGTACGGATAACTGGCCCAGGGCTTTAATATTGATGGCCTGTGGTGTATAATCAGGTGGTGTAGACAGAAGCACTGCCGAGGGCAAAAAATCAATGTCCGATTTCCACTCTAGATGGCTTATGGAGCCTGCGACCCCAGTTCCGGAATCTATATTGTCATTTTCCAAGGCAAAAAGATAAGCTCCTTGAATGGAGAGGACCACTCGATCCCCAAGCCTGGCAATGGCGTCGCCCAGTTGGCCGTCCCTTGTACCGCTCTTGGTTCGAGCGCTTGCTGCCATAGGGGGGCCTCCAGGTCCGACGAACAAGGAATTTATCATAGCTGGAACATAGATTGTTGAGAGATGCCGCAACAAGCCCTGAGAACAGGCCACACCCATTAGTTGGAGACATTGATCAATCGCCGTGGGATGCAGCGAATATCTGCTCCCAGGTAGCCCGCGGTTACCCAAGACAGTCGCATTAGCCCTCGGTCCGGTAGGATCGGCTGTTATCTGTTCTAGGCCCTGAAATTGAGTACCGTAATCTATTCCACTTCTTTTTAGCACACGGTAGAGGCCCTCAGATGGCACAGATCGTTTATAAGAAGAGATTGGGAATGACTCTGGAGGATGATCGGACCCCGCTCTTACTTGGCCCTGGCAGTGCATTGTCCAGCGTTCTCCGTTGTGCACCATGATTTTGAAACTGTGCCAGCCAGACGGGACCCTGTCAGCCACTTCGACTGGACTAAGGCTCGTCACCATCTCGATTTGGTCTCCTTCGTGGAATAGCAGTGGAGTTATGAATGTCGTGTTACGCACTGAATAACTATCGTGGTCGGGATTTAGCTGCTGGACTGCCTCGCCTACCATAGCGACAAATCCAGCACCAGGGAATGTAACTGCCCCTTGGATTACATGATCCAAAAGCCATGGGACATTGTCCAACGTGACTAAATTGCGCCAAGAAGGCTCATGATCGGTCGTATCGACGACCCGCGAACCGAGGATTTCATGATGTGGAAACTTGCGCTGCCTCCATTCCCTACTAAGTCGGCTCTCACTCCAGTAGGAGCGATCGTGTTGCCAAGGATAGGGTGGAAGGTCTGTCAATGTGTTACCCAGCTCAATCATGCTTGAAAAGTTGACAACTATGCCATTCGCATAGGCCTGTCCCGCTGTCCGAAGCAGCTGGCTGTGGACATCCTCATCATACCTAAACAAGGTGGGAATGTAGACTGGTGACCTTGCCGGCAGAGTCCTGAAAATTTGTCGCAGAGGAGCAGCGAGAGCCGAGTGCGGTCCAACCTCTAGGTAGACCGGTGTTCCATTTGCAGGTAGACTCTGGATAGCCTCGGTGAAGAGTACCGGTGATTCCAGATTTTGTCGCCAGTATGATGCGTCTAGTTTGCGAGGGTCGGTGATAGTTTTGCCAGTCACACTAGAGCAGAATGGAAGCATTTCCTGCTCATGTTCGATGTGGCTAGAGATGTAGTCTTCATACTCAGAGCCAATCTGTTTCATGTGGTCTGCAAATAATGTAAGCGCAAGCGTATCAAATTAGAGTGCAGGGTCAAATTACCAGAATGATAAGCAATTTTAACCGTAAGTCGCCGACACAATATATCTGAATTTGCCGTCTTGATGCTTTTGATCGTACGTTCAACCGAGTCATTATCTCCAGATAGAGTGACACTATGCGGACTATTGTGGCAAGCAACAACGGTTCCAGGTGTCAGATACGGCGCCACTTCATCCGGGGCAAGACCGACGGCTACCATAGCACCGAAACCTTCTAGTGGTTTTGCGACTTTGCCTCGATAGTATGCTATAACGATAGCAGTTCTCATGGAAATGGCTCGAGCAGCATAAGCGGCCACAATCTCTCCGCTCGAATGCCCAACTACTGTGGACGGCTCAATTCCCCAGTTCCGGAGAATGTTTACCAGGCCAATTTGAAGCGCAACACAGAGAGGCTGGGAGAATTCAGCTTCGTGGACCCGAGAAGTAGAACTCTCTTGCCCAAGTTCATCTGGTAGGTACGTTAGTCAAAGGATTATCGTAACTTCAGGGGTAGTGCCCTCAATCTGACCATATAATAACCAATTTGGGGAATCGGGTAGTTTTTGTAAGGCTTCATCCATCGTTTTGATATCCTGCTTGAATGTTTGGAAGCTCGACAAAAGCTTCAGCCCCATTCCCGGCCATTGAGCACCCTGGCCTGTGAACACGAAGGTGACACTCGAGGGACTGGTATTGAAGATCGAAAAAGCCGCATCATCTAGAACTGGGTTACTCGACTGAAGCACGGTGAAAGCACGATGGGGAAGATGCGATCTTCGCGCAGCCAAAGTATGTGAAAGATCATGTAGGCGTGTTGGGTGATTCTTTACATAGTCGGTGATCTGGGTAATGCGCTTGCGAAGGGTGTCTGCAGTATGTGCAGATACTACCAAAAGCTGGGGGTCAGAAATCCCAAGCGATGTGTTCTGGGACTTGGGAGTGGTCGTGCAGGCGGACTCCAGAATAGCGTGGGCATTGGATCCCCCGATACCAAACGAATTCACGCTAATCCTTTCGGGCCTGCCAGCAGGCCACGGAGTCGGTTCTATAGGAACATGAAGATTTGCCTCGTTGAATGGAATTTGAGGATTCGGCGTTTTGAAATGAATATTGGGTGCGATGGTCTTGTGTTCAAGTGACAAGATGGATTTGATAATGCTAGTGATGCCTGAGGCACCCTCAGAATGACCGACGTTTGGTTTGACCTGTGAAATGCACAATATAAGTAATGACCTTCGCTACCGACGGCTCGGCAAAGGATAGTACTGACTGCGGTGATATATGTTGCTTTTCCGTCGGTCATCTTTGCAACAACTGATGCTTCGATGACATCGCCGACGGCTGTTCCAGTCCCATGGCATTCAAAGACAGGTGTTTCGTGGATTGCATCAATTCCCGCGATCTGATATGCGCGCCGAATCAACCTCTCTTGGGATTTAGGACACGGTTGAGAGAAGTTAGGGGTCTTGCCGTCGTGGTTGGTCACTGTGGAGCGGATGACGGCGCGGACAGCGTCGTTCTCACGTAACGCGTCCCGCAATGGTTTGAGATAGATACAGTTGATCCCTTCACCACGACCGTAGCCATCTGCCTCAGCATCGAAAGTATGAGAGATCCCACTTGGTGATAAAACCGTGTTTTTAGTCATAGCATCTGTCATGGTTGGGCCCCATATCAGGCTTGCCCCTCCCACTAGAGCTGACGAGCACTCTCCAGACCTGAGTGCTTGACAGGCCTCGTGTAGGCAGACCAAAGACGATGAACAAGCTGTTTGAATGGTCATGCTGCAGAGGGTCAGAGCTTTCGAACATAAAACAGCGGACCGCACTCACCTCGGACCCAGGAGATCAAACCGATATGATACTTGGTTTGCTAGCGCAAAACCACCGGTAGCAATCGGGTATATCTGATTCAGATGCTGGGGATCTTTATGCGACATCTCTAGCCAATCCTCGCCAAAGACGCCCACAAAGCAACCAATTTTTTCACCGCGCCACTTGGTCTCCCCCGAGTTCTCCAAGCACTCCCAGGCAACCTCTAGCAAGAGTCGTTGCTGGGGGTCTAGGCGTGCCGCCTCGTGGGGAGGAACAGAAAAGAACGAAGCGTCAAAAAAAGCTGGATTTTCTTGCAGAAAGAACCCTTTTTTCGTTCCGCTCGGATCTCCACAAGCAGGGTTTCTAGACGCCTCTCTCGAACAGCGCGAGGGAGGCGCTTCACAAAAGCCATCTCGTTTCTTCACGAGCATTTCCCAAAACTCATCTCCACATCGAACACCGCCTGGTAGCCGCATGGCCATACCAATGACGGCAATTGGCTCGCCAAAATCATTCTCGTGGTTTCTGCATGATGATTGTCCTTGTCCAGCTGTTGAGTTCATTTTTGATCGAATGATGGAAAGTTTGAGACTGGATCAAGATGGCTGCAGGATATACAAAACAAATGTTGAACTAGGCTTCGAGCTCTAATATCACAATGTATGGCCTTTTGACTATCGACGGACTTTCGAGTAAATTGGCGTTTAGGCAAATCTACACACAATATCTACCTTCATATCCTGGTTCTGCAAGGTGCAAGAAAGACATTTCCTCCGAAATCCTCCGCTACCGGTGGAATGGTATGTACCTGTGTGGCTCTCCGATGATATTGCCGGACACTACAATGAAATAAATTCGCAAGTAGTTCCAACCTGCCCTCGAATAACTTTTTTTTTTCAACTTTGTTCAACAACACTCCAACCTAGACACGCATGTGTGACTGCAACACAACTAGTCACCAAGCTGCTATCTTTATATTCCATGCCGTGCAAAATTCAGTGCTTGCCATGTTGAACCAATTATCATCAGAGGCTATGCAGCAAAGAAACCAACAAACGGTCTAAATAGAGGTAATGTTCTTGTTGGAGATTTTTATCTTACGCAATAAAGCAAAGCTCGGCGTGAGTAAAAGATATATCAACAGATCATGTATCGATTCACCATCAACAATATTCGGTACTACAAAGGCTAGAACAATCAGAAGGAAAGCTCGGCTGAAAGGAGCTCACAGCCCTCCGGATGTCCAACACAATCTTCTACCCTCCGGATGTTCAATGTAACCCACCTTCCTATAGCTATTGGGTCTCTGATGTGATACATACAAGGTACCTCGGGCTAGAGATATTTCGAGCCACAGCCCAGTACAACCCAATACCCAGTTGGGGGGGGGGGGGGGGTAAATGCTTTAGGCCGATTAGGCTAATGCATTCCGTTGTTTGGAATCAAGACGCCTTGTGGTGATGTCGACCTTTTGTTTCAACTTTATTCAGTGCCGATATCACAGGAAATAGAGGTGAGTAATGAGGCCCAAAAGCAAGAGAACAACAAATTACCACCAGAAATTAGACTATGGCTTACAAACGTTATAATAGGTAGCTGGAGGTGATATTTGGGTATAAGTCTCCTCCAAAACTACGCAGTCACATTTTCCTGATTGTTCCAAAGACGCTTTTTGATACAAAAAAACCTTCCATGCTGTATGAATACTCACAAGTTCCAACCAGGAGCAGCAGACAACTTTTGGTCAACATGGACAGCGAATGGTTTCGAGGCCAAGTTTTCTTTCTCACTGGAGCAACTGGAAATCTTGGCAGTTGTCTGTTATACAAGTTAGCGGTTCAACTTCCAACCGCCAAAATCTTTGTGCTAGTGCGGGGGTCTGTCCAAAAAGCAATTGAAGCATGGGAGAAGTCGATGCCAGAGCAAGTGGAAGAGATTGTCACCACTTGCAAAGTCCAATTCTTTCTCGGTGATATGACCCAGCCTAATCTCGGTCTTTCAACTGACAACTTGTTACGGCTACAAAATGAGGCCACAGCCGTGATCAATGCTGCTGGTGACATTGCATTATCACGAGATCTGGCAGAGACTATACCAATCAATTGCACTGCTCATCGTACACTGGTTTCTCTACTAGACAGTTTCACACATTTACAGCGCTTCCTTCACATTTCAACTACATACGTCGCCAGCTTTCTGCCTGATGGCGTGGTCAAGGAACAAATCTACCCTCTATACGAAGACCCGGTAGAGGAACTAGGAAAAATCCTTGTCACAGGGAAATCGTCCTATACCACACAATTTGCGGCTCCCTATGCATTGGCCAAACACCTGGCTGAACGGTTGCTTCTGGGTGGCAATCACGAATTCCCCATCCTCATTGTGCGACCATGCCTCATATCACCAGCTGTTGCGGAGCCCTACCCGCTCTACGGCAGCGATGGTGCCATACCCGTACATTCCTTCATCCAGATGCTCCTAAGAGACTCAGAATATGGGCCTCTGAAACTCGAGCAGACACTGCCTTCACACGCAGCCTGTAATGAGATCCCAGTTGACCTCGTGGCGCGGACTTGTCTCGCTCATGTTGCTGAGGGAACGACAGGTGTGGTCCATGCTAGCGCTGACCTGTACGTCTCCTGGTCAATTGGAGAGTTGCTCGAGCGAATGCGCCGCCACGCGCCAGAGGGAGCGGTCAATCAGGTGCGCAAGGCTGGGATCGACCACGGAGAAGTCACGGCTCCTGAGTTTTATACCATGATCCAGCAATTTGCCCGGGACTGGAAGATCGAATGTACGCGATCTGCTCACTTGAAATACGTGGCTGGTCCGTTGGGACTTGACCTTGGCGATCATGACCCAGAGAGATTCTTTAAACTTCGTATCGAGCGATTGGCCAAGAATCTTTTTGAAAGACTGGAAAGTGCTGGTGCGGCAAGGAACAAGGTGTATCCGAATCTCTCTTGAAAAGTGATGTCTTGGTGTTGGTGGTAGAAATACAATGGTCTGTTAATGCCCAAGGCTCCCGAGAAGGTGGCCCTATCTGGGTTCCCTAAGGCCTTGCGCCTCAGAGTTGGTTCTTTTGGTATCTGGTTTCGAAAGGCTCATTGCAGAGTTGCGCTACGCTAAGATTTTCATTTGAAGGGAAGAGCCATTACGATGTATAATACCGGAATGGACTCCTTAATGGGTAGAAGTGTCAGTTGTACGTATGGTTCACAGTATGTTGCATATCCCAAGTCTTGTTCCAGTGCATAAGGAGGGAGGTCCCATCCCCGACTGAAGCGATACCCCACGGGCGAACGTGTTAAACAAGAGCCAGCCAGAGCTTGGGCTGTAAAATCCACACCTTCAATCCTGCCAGCTATTTTAAATGAAAAACTTGATCCATGTCTCTTTTTATTCCAAGACAAGGTCCATCTCTATCCATCCGGTACCAGACTTGTCATAGTACTGACAAGATGATCATTAACTTAATAAATCGAAGAGAATAAATATGATGATCTAAATTTTCATCGGTAGATTGCGTTAGAATATGTACAAGATAAAACTTTACGCCAAGGAACTTTTAAAAAAACAAAAAGGAGGCTCTGAGCCTCGCAGCGCCACTGGTGGCAGTAGTTGAAGTAGTCTCAGAGGTAGACCGAACTGGCGTGGCGGCTGTCATCGCTGCAGTTGGCGTCGAGGTCTTAGAGATAGCCGCTTTGTTGCTAATTAGGCTAGTTGAAAGGGCGCTGTCAGCGATGTCGGTGGTCGTCGAACTTGCGCTCGTGCCAACGGAGCTCACATCGCTTCCACCGTCGCCGCATTGAACCACAGTTTCCCAACCACCAGCAAAGGTATCCTCCCAGTAGGAGGATTGGTTCCCAAGAGCAAAATAACTGAAGAAATATGCCGAACCAGGTTGTTCGTGTGCGTTTTGGAAAAACTTCACTGCACACTCGTCGCTACATGGAAAATCGGTTTGGGCCCAATCGTCGCTCGTGGGATAGGTCAAGTGGCAGTAATCAGACCTGCCAGGAAATAAGCACATACACTCTGGGAAAATCACTATGATCAGAACTCACCCGATTTGGGCACAAGATTGGCCGTAATTGTACTGGAAAACCTCGCCCACGGTGGCCACGGGAGCTTGGTAAACATACGTGCTCCCGCTGGCAATCCCGGCTAGATCGCCATCCTTGTCGCACGCAGCCTTGACACCCGTGATGTACTGGGATAATGAATCACTACATGTGGTGGTGCACATGGCCTGCAAGTCTGAAGATTGCGGGTTGAAGTCAGGATCCATAGACGCCACGATCTTGAGGAGGGTTTCATCGCAGTTGATGCTGGTGCTATAGGCGTCCTTGCAAGCCTGTGACGTCGTGTCTGCTAGGTCCTTGGTTGTGTAGTCCCAGCTGGGACCAGAAGTATTGAGACTGAAGGTAGCAGCTGCCTGGCCCAAAGCAACAGACAACGAGAATAGGCGAAAGATCATGATTGTGACGGCCATTTTTCTGAGAATTGGAAAACGAGGATAAGAAGAGTTAAAGCAATTGTTTTAAATAGCAAGAGATGAGAGGTGAAGGGTAAGAGGGGTGGTGTCTTTGACAAAAAAAAACCCCCCCACTGCAAGCCAGAATTATTTAGGGTTCACTGCCAAGTCTTTGGGGATGAAAATGGCCCCCAAATTTTCAGGGGCAGTTCAGCCTCAAGACCCACCAAATCCGACGGAGGCTGTCGATGAAGCCAAATTCTTCTACATAAATGATGAGATTCCTACAAAGAACAATGTATTCAACAAGAAGCGCCAACACTTTACCATCCGTTCAAGCTCACCTGGTCAGGGTCCTCTTTAATCAAGAAACGCGGAGAGAAAACGGAATGCAGTATCAATTAGTTCAGGTCAGTCCCTCATCAGCTATGGAGGGCTGCGCCACGCTCTTCGACTTCGCTCAGTATGAGTGGACTCTCGGATGGACACCTGCAAGCCGGTTTCTAGTGCTACGCGCACATGAACCTGTGTGGTGTGATTCTCCCCAATTGCGTGGAGAGTGTAGTCCTCCCGCTGGAGATCCGGTCCTCGCCATCCCGCAGGCTTCCTCGAAAGAAGCGCAGGAGCATGTCATCTTCGACCTCGGTTTGCAAGAAGGGTCGCACGTCCGCTGACTAATTAAACGGTTTGTCTTTACGCGAAGGCTTGCGACCTTTGCTGTCGTCGAACGCGGTTCTTGGAACTGAGGGAGGTGTCTGATGATACGCGTCCGTTCTCAGAATAGTGGAGTCGGCTTTTATAAGAGGTGCAGTATTGACTTGAGCAGCACCCACCTGCTATGCTGCCTATTAAGACTATAGAGATGAGCAGCGGGTGGATCTTTCCAAGGATTCTTTTTTGCGCAATGAACGGCTATTTCCAGCAATCAGCTGTATCTCGCTGTGTCTATGATGATGCTTGATATGAGGCCTGCTGAGAGGGGACCGCCTCCTTCCAAGCCACAATTTGTGTCTATTTGCCATGCTCGCAGGCTTTGTGGAATTTCCTCGACAAATACTCGTGGCGGGGATTTTAGTCATGCCGTTCATCTGCTTTAGATTTCGGGGAAGATTCCAAGCCATCATAGTGAGCTTATTTAGGTTGCAAGGCTGTTCAATATCAAATAGAGTGCACGACTGGGTGGGGTGCTTTGTGGCGACCCAAAGATCTTGAGAGGGCTTGGAGGTATGAACCGGGGATAATCTCCGGTTTGATTGGAGGGTTTTCGGATGATACAGTTCCAATTCTTTGACGGTTCAGTATATTACAATTGCTCCGACGAGGTTGTGACCCTACGATATTTGAACCCCAATTCAACGACCGGCAAGCAACATGCGAGAAAAGGTCACACAAACTGTGAAATTGGTGTTATACATTGTAATCAAGCGATGCACCGATCCGAGGCCCTCTCCGAGCTCGAGTCAGTCCAAATTACTTGCAACACAAGACAAGATCTGTCTCGACAAAGCCCAATCGACCAGTCATACTTCAAATCCACACATGTCTCAATCAAACCACTGAATTATAACGATATAGCAGCCGGCTGGACCGCAGTTGGAGAGTGCCGACCTTGCTTCTGAGAGCTATGGTCCCAAAGGCTAACTGGTATATTCTGATCAAAGGTTTCTTTTGCCATCGCATTCTTTGTTCCCCTTATTCTCCCGAACTGTGAATGGTGTACTTTTTGTCTTCTTCGCTGCTTTCCTTGCCTCCGGTATTGTCTGATTTTGGATCTTCCTGCCTAGGACCAAGGGCGCGTCTCTGAAAGATTTAGATCGCGTTTTAAGATCAAACTAGGCGATCAGGATGCTGAGCTTTACAAGAAGGGTAGCGCGATTTCTGCTTGACTTCGTTCCTCGTGTTCCTACATCGCAGTAATTTGAAACGGTTTAAGCGGGTTCTAGAACAATGGGTTTTGGCTCAACATTGTACTTGGTCACAATTTGAATGTTGACAAAGTTACTTCCGGTGCAGATTTGTCGTTTCCTTCCTGTCAAGCACATATTGGGGCCATCGAACTCTCGATGTGATGATGAGGAATAGTGAAACCAACTACAAGTTGTTATTTCGTGGTCACAGATGGGGGGATGCAGGTCCAGTCGAAATGCTGTGCAGACTGTACAACGACCCTGAACATGTGAATAAAGAAATCGAACAAAGCACACGTGGAGCTCTGCGAGAAACTCGAAGCCACGAATACGTCCACCCGGGAAAGCTTTAAAGAATGCAACGGACAACATCAGATGCAATCTCTGACGTGGAATTTTTTGATGTTTCGTTCAGTGCGAATAGTTTCTGGCTCAGCATGGGATTGTCTCACTTGGGCCGTAATTGAACAACATTAGCGGATACTGTGGATGGACTCGGGGCATAAAAAGGGAGCAAATGCCAGTCTCGAGAAAACATAACCTTGGGCTTATGCATGTATCTCCATCTACAAGGAGACTATCCTTCTCGGAGCAGCGCTGGTGGGAGAGGGAATCATCTAGAATAATGAGACCCTGTCAATTACTAAATTAAGCATACGGTGAACCCTTGGTTAGACGGACGAACTGCCGAATGTAGAAGCGAAGGCCTCTCTCAAAAAAGCAGCCCTCAGTATGAGTTTGGACGGGGAGTTTGACATGCAATGTTTTGTCTGGTTGACAGATTCCTTTTTTTGAATATCAACAAATTTGTCGAGTCATTTCCAATGCCTTCTAACCATGGACCGGTCTACTCTACACGATGTCTCATGTAAAGTTTCGAATGACAAACCGAGAAGATCGAGGCGGTTCAAGTAGTATGGAATCTGGCGCGATACGAGGAATTTGACGATGAAACCGATACTATGATTTCATTATTATACTCAAAACGCGGTTTCTCATAGATAATAGTTACCGGGTTTACATCCTCTCGTTTATTCCTTCATTCTATATCATATGCAAAAGGAATACTCTGCATAGCCCCTCGCCGCTGAACACACAGAGCAGAAGCAGCATTCGCCTTCGAAACCGCCCGCTCAATCTCATCATCAAACGCCACCAGGCCCCGTCCCGAGGCCAAGAAACGCGCTACAGCAGTCGCGAAGTACCCAACAAATGTATCCCCCGCCGCAGTAGTATCAACAACCTTGGCAACCTTAATCCCAGCAACAATACCAGCGCGACCCGTCTTGGTCGAGAAATAAACACCCTTCGCGCCCAGTGTAATAAGAACAATCTCAACGCCCGCACGCTCATGGAACCGCGGCGCAAACTCCTCAGGCCGTAAATCATCCCCCTCAACAACATCCCCAACAGGAAGACCGTCAATCGACCGCGCCATCTGGACAACCTCCGTCTCATTCATGATCAGCACAGCAGTCCCGCGCAGCGCGGAGAGCGGAATCCCCTCCGGAAACACGGGCGCGGGATTGAAAACCACTTTCGCACGGTCCTCGGCAGAAACGTCATTGAAGTACTCCAGCAAGCCCAGTGTCGTGGAGCGCGGGATCTCGCCCTGCAGCACGACGACGTCGGGAGTAGACCTGTGACTCGGTAGCGCAGCGAGGATTTTTCCGACATCACTGAGAATTCCAGAATGGTTGGCGCCTGGGACGACGAGTATCCTGTTCTCGCCGCCGATAGCTTCTTCCACAATTATGGTTGCCGAGCCCGTCTGCGCGACGGTCGATTGTTCGACGGATGTTGTGTCGACGCCGGATTTCTCGAGTGCCGGTTGTAGGAGGGTCGTGTAGTATGGGTCTTCGGCGCCGACGGCACCGATCATGTTGATGGAGACATCTTGGGTTGTTTGCGATGTGAAGGAGGAGCGACCGCAGGCTACGGCTTGGTTTCCGCCTTTGCCGCCTGCTGAGACCGTGAGGGAGGTTGCTGTGAGAGTTTCGCCTGGTCCTGGGCAGCGCGGGGTTGCTGTTACGAAGTCGATGTTTAGGGAGCCAATTACGCTGATTTGAGGTTTTCTCGAGGAGGATGGGGTTTGGGTTGGGATTGTGGTGGCCATCTTGGTAGGTTGTGGTGCGTTTCGGCTTTTTGCCTTTGGGATGTTTAGGAGGTTGGATGGGGGCTTGTGCAGATTCGATTGAATTGATAGATGTAGAGAGTTTGATTGTATCAATATGTGTTGCGCCGCATGACCGTCGGGTTCTGGGCATTCGGCATGCCACCCCAGGTCCGAGGCCTACGCATAGGCCATGCTAGTTCTGAATAGGCTAGCGTCAACTGACTAATCTATCCAGATACAGACCAGTGCGGAAATTGCTGACTAACACTGGGAGTTTCCGTATTCAGGCGGTGCATTACCCCGGAATTCGTTGAATCAAGCTACCTATTTTGATACAGAGTGTTGGAATTAACTAGGTTGCGATTGTGTCGAGAAAGGCTTCAGCCACTATTCTAACAGAGAGACTACGGATTCTCGAAATCAGCTTCTGTTGGTTGATAGTTACCTCCCACTCTTTTCATCCGCCTGGTACGAGGCCAATTCTGGCCTCTGCCCCTGTCCAGTTGAATTAACCCGTTGGGATATCGAGCATGTCCTGGTCACTAATTTTAAAGCGGGTTTTACATATTAAGTTGCGGTGATAGTCCACATAGACCAACAGTGAGCGCTCGGTCTCGCCTCCTGGTAGATAATCACCACCTGAAGCGCACACACATCACGCTGGAGATCATAGCCGTAGATTAAATCTTTGCGAGGGGTTAGAATTGTACAAACACCGATACCACTTGGTATTAGTTGCTCCAGCGGATGACAAACTCTCACCTGATCACAAATTGTAAGGGCAAGTTGCTTTAACATGGTAACTCCATAAGAATATACGTACACGTAAAATAGTCTCAACCTCGATTTTTTTAACCCTTCGACTTGATAGAAGAATGCTGGGGGGTATTCATAGGGATCAAAGGGATTATTGGTATCAACCCTCGTGTGGATCATTAATTACACGATGGTAGATGAATACCCCCACAATATGTATACATATATATCGTTTTTCATTCTTTAGACACCTTTTACACCTCTACATTACGTGTTTGAGATAATTGGTAGTGGCCAGTTGATCAAACCTGACCGTGACCCAAGCTAGTCCAAGGGTTAAGAAAAACCGACAGTAGTGTATACAGGGTGCAAGTCTCTTTTGTATGAAGTTGCCACCATAGAGATAGATACAGGGAACACGGAGGACGCAAAAGTCCAAACTCCCGTGAGACCCACCTAGTGCACCGTCCGTATCTCGGCTCTACCGCCTACCAAACGCTCACCAAGGGCACAACGCGCCCAAGATATCTGAAGCACCCGTTAGAAATCAGCTCGTGAGTTTCAAGGCTGGTTTCTATCAAGTAAGGCAGTCTTTGGCATGACAAGTAGGCCATAATAGCGACCCGGCGAATCTTGGATAGTAAATTCGACCAGCAGAATCCCAAATGATCGTGTGCCGGGACCATGGGTGTTTATACTTGTGCGTAGTCAACCTGTTTAATTTTACAATTTGTGACCTGGTGAAGATTTTTTTTATCCGTTGAGAAACAATACCGAGAAATGTTGGTGGGCTTTGCGCAACCAACCTTGATTCATTTGCAGAAAAAAGACCAAAAAGAAAAGAAACGACAGCTGGAGGATTCGAACCTCCGCCTCCTAAGAGAATTGATTTCGAGTCAATCGCGTTAGACCACTCCGCCAAACTGCCCTTGTTGATGTCTAGGTATCTTAGATTAAAAATATATCAGAACGTGACCTGCGAGAAGAATCGGCTGCAGATGTTTTAAAGAACCATAGAGATCTAGCTAATCTGCTTATAGAAAATACTCCGGCTAAGATTCACAATTGGATCACTTTCATATCTGAGTAAACACTAGAATCTCAATCATACATGACAGTGGCTCCAAGACAGCAAATAAGCCAACAAACTATCACTCCCGCTCAAGAACTCCCCGAATTTTTAACCCAATCAATCCTTCAATGACGCAAAAGTAAACCACTCAGTTCATCTTAACCTGGAACAAATATCGCTGTCGAATCTGCGCAACATCGTACACAATGTATTCATTGTAGTACAAACCACTTTGAGGATCTTCGGTCATGCCCATAGCCACATCAGGCATTGTCACACCCTGCAAAGACGGATTCAAACACCCAGCATCCTTCCACCCACCAGGAATGTTCGAACCCTTGCCGAGAGTCGCAATCTTGCCCTCACTGTGCGCCACTTCGCCAGCGTTGTAGTTGCTATGTTCAAGCTCCAGCATGGGCGCACCGAGCTCCGCATCGCAGAGAAGAAGCAATCCCATCCCCCGGCTGTTGTAGGGACAGCAATAGTTTGCGGATTTGCTCGATGTATCAGCTAGATACACACCCTTACCAAACATGTATCCGTTGACAGGTGCTTCGGGCGGTGCAATGCGCAGTCCTTGGCTGAGGATACCACCGAAGTTTGTGCTGCGAGATCCGTGCCAGAGGAGGCGGCGGTCGCTGTTTGGGATAGTGGCGTAGGGGGAGGCATTAAAGCGGTCATTTTCACCTTGGCGCTCGATGCGGAAGATGTTCACTACCTTGTAGCTCATGTTATGTGTCTGGCCGCGGGAGTTCTGGAGGTAGTTCTCGAGTTCTACGAACTCGCTTGATTTATGATCCACTGGGAGGGGTCAGTTTCGTGAGATACGGTGGGCTTGGGAATTGGTACTCACGCTCTGTCATCTCCTCCATGCCCAGACTCTGGAACTGGCGATCCAATGGGTGGGTGTCATCGTCTTCCTTGGACGATACCATGATTTCATTCGCAACGTCCATGTCAGTCAGTGCCTCCAGTAAATCGATTTCCTTCTTGATCTGTGCGTTCGTATTCAAGGTCGGGGGTCGGTGGCGACCAAAGACGTGGGGTATCAAGGTGAAATATCGGTTGCTCAATGTCTCTATGGCATCAGTGTATGGTAGGCCATACTTTTCTTGTGCCAAGGTAGGTGTAATCATGAGCTCGGAGATCTCTTTCAGAACCATGAATCCGCTTTTCAAAGTTCTGTCACTCAGCTTCCCCAGCGGTAGTTTGTGAGCGTCGTAGGACATTGCGGCCAATGTGTCGAGAACGTTTTGTTTGTTGAAAATGAAAGACATGAGGTTTTGAAGCCCTTCAGATAAAGTGCTCTCAGGCTGGGGCAGCATGTCGTCTTCTTCCTTCATAGTTTTCTCCGCTTTCACTTGCTCTTCCCCTTCGTCGTCCTCTTCATAGTTGCGCTCAAGGAATGTGTACTTTCCGTGCTTAGGAATATCGAGTCGGTTCAACCACTTGAGGCCGGTCTTGTCTTTGAACTTCTTCTCATAGTGCTGCATTGCGTCTGCTAAATGACCGTTCCCGAGACAAGCTGACTGCCCATGCTCCCCAACTCGACCCCAGCGCGTCCATGCAAAGTACTTTGAGTTTGCACCAGCCAACAATTGAACACGATAAAACTTGTTGGCATTGTTGGCTGCCACAGTCTGGCTCAGGGTGGCATCCCAGATGAGGCCTGCACTGTCAATGTAGACTTTTGGGTCTGTTTCGAAGCGATTAGTTTGTCTCCCACCTGAGTTCTTGTATTGCAGACGCACCCTTGAGTTTACCCAGTTCCTCGAAGCCATCGTCAATTGGGACATTAATCGCCGTTGTGGCTGTCTTTTGGATGTCCTTTGCCTTTTTGTTTGAACCACTCTTACCAGAATCTTCATCCGCGCGACGTTTCTTGGTTGTAAGTTTCTTATCCATGGCAGCTTTACCATTTGCACTATTCTTCTTGGTGTCGTTTGTCTTTTTTTCAGCATCATTTTCGGGAGAAACCGCATCCACAGCTCGTTTCCTCAAGGTACGCTTGTTATCCATAGGAACAGACGCATTGGCGTCCACAACCTTGGTATTTGTGTCTTCGTCTGACTTAGACGCCTGCTCAGCCTGCCCAAATGAATAATTTGACTCCGGCAATGGCTTCTTGGCCTGGTCTGAGTCAAGAAGCCACGAAAGTGGGACAATGTGACAATTGACAACCTGGGAAGCTTGTTTATCTAGTCGATTGATCAGTACAAGACTCCAAAGATTGTACATTGAAACCTCGAAAGTTAGAGACATCTTCCGCTCCTTGTCATAAAGCACTGTCCAGGACTATCATTTTGAGGTTTTTTGAAAGGGCCAAAAACATCTCAAAAATGGTCATTTTCATCCCCAACGCGATATGCCACCGTTATTGGTGCTGAGATGGTAAAGTGTTGACCATTGAAATATTACACAGGGGTTTCAAACCTCCGATGTTTCTTTGGCCTGCGATTGTGCACTCACATTTGGTAGTTCCCTTCTCCACATCCTTCTCAGTAGTCACCAGATGGGTACTATCCTCTGTAACTGCCGTGCTGAAGGTCGCTCCATTCTTCTCAATAAGTGCTTTTAGATCCGCTAGGAGGAGTAGAATGGTAAGCAAACAATTTGTGGTAAATATGAGCGAGAAAAAAAAAAAAACCGCCTTGCGAACAGGGGGCTCATACCTTGTCTAAGATTGGGAAAGGTCCCGCCCACAGCAATGACAAGTGCTTTGAAGCCTTGATTTGACATGATGTTTTTCAAGTGCAAAAAAGGACCGGCATACAGGAGTAGAAATTAGGAATGTAGCATGTAAAGGTTGATGAGGGGAGGGTTGAGCACGAGGTTGAGGTGTACAAGATAAGAGAATGAGCAACCCAGGTGGGAGCAATTCAAAAAAAGTGAAATGAGATAGGATGTGATCGAAAGGTAGAGCAAGAAGAAATAGGAAGAAACAAGTTGCCTTTTAAATCAAAACATGAGAGGTTGTTGCTCAGTCAAGTGTTGTGGCCTGAGGGATGTGGCAGAAATGAGGCTGCTGCCTGGGTTAGCGTTAGGCAACACAAGGCAGCACACTCTCTTTTGTGGAGATCAACGTGAAGTCTTTCCAGGTGACCCTGCAACTCTATGGATATATATGTAACATATCTATAATGAAGTTTGTCATAGAAAATACCCATGTTATTGTATGATGATAAGATGAAATCCCCCCAATCTCATTGACTTAATTGGTCACTGAACGCTAAAAACAACGTTACTCAACGGTTAAGATATAATCTACGCGGCTAAAGTTGGCGCTTAACCTACAAATAGTGTGAAAAAACTTCCAAATTAGTTCACAGGCTGCTGTTGTATTTACTAGGTCAATAGTCATTAATTGAACCCTGATGCATCTGCCATGACAACCACTCGAACTTCCACTGGCCATCCAAGCGCCCTCTACAACACGACGAAGATAAGCGAGCTAGCGGCCTACGAGTCTATGCATGTAGTGACTGTGTCAATAGCGTGATAGTTGAACTGGTAGGGGTTTTCCGCTTAGCACGATCTACTAGAAAAAGCCAGTGAGAATGGCGAGCCTACTTTCAAGTATGAGATGTGAGACTAACACACTAGTTTTCGCTTGATTCACAAACCCATCGTAGGATTTGGCGAGGACCCAGATACTATCACGGCCTTTGGTAAACTGGCTGGATTAGCCTCACTCTTTATCCATGTCTATTCGGACATGTCTCTGCTTAGCCGAGTCATCATCCAGAGTGGCTCGCCCAGTGCCGTGGATTTCTGGACCCTTGATGAGTGTGATGCATACTACAACCGCTTATTATCATCCATAGGAATCACAGGAGAGACATCTTCAGAGTGGCTCAGAGCTCTCCGATGAGTGCCATTGTCGCGACTGGTTGACTTTACTCGTGAGAACAATCTTTACATCTTCATGCGCAAGATCAGGATTGATACCAAGGCATAATGTTGATTGACTAAACATAGTATCTCGGATTATCTCCAATCCCATGTTTGAAAAGATCGTTCAAGGTATAATGTATAAGATGTCCAATCTCAAGTCTCTCGTTTATTTTCTGAGGCCGAACTTCGTTTGCACTTATTCACAATGGGATTTCAACACTGCCCTTGTCTCCAATTTTTGTTGGGTTGCTTTTGAAGGAACCGATCTACTACCAACCATCGTTCGTGGGAACTTTATTTATGCAAGTTAGAAATTATCACATGGCTCTTAGTCTTCCTATGTCACAGGCAGAAGTGGATTTGGTAGGATTGTTGGTACTAAAACGACCCCGCCAAAAAGAAATCCGAGAAAAACTGGAAAGAGCGCCACTGACATCCAACCCTTGATGAGTGGATGTTATACATTGTGATTTAGTCTGACAGAATGCACGCAAGAGTAAAGATCAGAGCCTTGATGGGATATGTCTCATGAAAGCTGTGAGCGACATAGTGAGCAACGACAAAGTCATTATAATTTGTTGCCACTTGAATTATATCAAGCAGCATCATTGGTCTAGTGGTAGAATTCGTCGTTGCCATCGACGAGGCCCGTGTTCGATTCACGGATGATGCACATCATCTTTTTTTGGGAGTTGGTGACTCCACCAACTCATGTAAATAGAACTGCCCTCTGTGGCCGCACAACACATTCACAACTCCATAGCTTGGCATGTCCTACACTCCCTAGGAGGTTACAGGAGCGAAGCCTATTCTCCACCGGATGTTAAATACAACAACCACAAAGCCCCCAAAATACCGAATTCACAGATAAGAATTTTTGTCGCAGACATTCATTAATGCCTCCTTTTGACTATTACAGTGTTCGAGCCGAGCACAAAGCGGGTAGTCCCTGCGGCTTGTGCAAGTCATTTGTCGTGTTGCGGTGAAGGACCGGGGTGCAGTGCCTCTCCTATGCCTTGGCCCCGGTTCAAACCTCCTTCTGTTGAACAAATTCAGCATTGTCTACACCAAAACCATGCAAAATTTCACCAGAAAGGCCGAGAAAAAGGGACTTGCAACCCAAATCTTTGTGCTTCTTTCGCTGCACGAACGGTGGAACATGTTATTTCAATGTTTCGATCGCCGTTCTGTGTATGGCTTCGAATTGCCGGTAAGCTTGGGGAAGCGATGTACTTCTATCGACCGAACATGAAAGATGTGGATCAGAGTGAATTTGATCTTTCTTTTGTTAAAATTCTGAGGCCTGGGACATGCCTCCAGACCTGTTTGTTGTGGAAACTTCTATCGCAATGTTGTCGACTTAAATAGTCCCTCGAGCTTGCTCACCATTCTGTCATTATTCTGTCAACACGTTCTACCAGCTTAGCTTACCAGGTTGATCACGGCCACGAGCGTAAAAAAACGGACATAATCCTTTAAGCCCATCATGTTGCTCAGTTGCAGTCATGATATTCGGGATTTCCTGCCGTTTCCCATGATCGGTTACACCATCTCACTCTTCTTGGTCACGTACAGCTGAGAGAAAGCAAACTGTCAAATACGCGCCACACGGCCATTTGCATCAATGTCTTGAGTAAATGAACACTTAATGGTGGTCGGCCACTATGAAAACTCGTCTAGAACAGTGTGTGTTGAACAACATCCGACCTACCATATGCCAAGAATGTTCCACATGTCCAGAAATCAACATCACAAGACCAAAAACTCACCATGAATTGAGTCATATATCTACACAGCCACTTGTTTCCACATTTATTTTGCAACCCCACTCGGCTATCGACATCCCGTATGTGACGACAAGGATTGATTCAGGGTATCAGATCACACACCCTCTGCCTGATGATCGACTGGGGTCGTTTCAAATTCCAAGTTTGAAGTAGATAGCGCCCCACTTTTAACAGCTACTGACATTGTGCATTTGGATATCGTTTTCGGCAATTTCCTTGATGTCGCTTTTTCAAACTCCACGAATGATTACTTGTCACTAGATCTCAACATGCTCGTTTTCGAATTTGTTCCTCACGATCTAAGTTGACAGAAATTGCACGAGAGTGAGAGGTTCTCAAATAAATACAAGGCTGATCACATAAGGTATCTTTGCTAGTCATCGAAGGGTATCTATTGAAACAAGTTCAACAGTACAATGAAATTTGCCCCCGTTCCACTACAGCAGTAGTAGAATTTTTGTACCCCAACCCGTCGCTAGTTGGAACTCTGAATTGAAGTCTCTACTTCTTCTTGGGCGGTGCAACATTGAACTGGAAGTGCACGATGTCACCATCTTGAACGACGTAAGACTTGCCCTCCTGTCTGTACTTTCCAGCAGACTTAATTGGGCCCATCGACTTCTCGCCATTGCAGAGGTCGTGGAAGTCTTGGTATGCCACAACTTCGGCCTTGATGAAACCGCGCTCAAAGTCGCCGTGAATGACACCTGCTGCTTGCGGAGCTAGTGTTCCCCGCTTGATAGGCCAGCAGCGGATTTCTTTCTCGCCAGCAGTAAAGTAGTACTGCAGGCCCAACTTGGTAAAGCCTGTCATGACTGGTTAGTCTGGGTACAGCAGGTGATGCGGACATCGGGGACAGACCTTCGGTAGTGATCTTTCCCAAGCGGCTCTGGACCTTAATATCGGCCATGAAAGCCTCGAGTGCTGGCTTGTCGTCCCTCAGGGACCACAGCTTCTCCTCGAACTCGACGGAGAAGGGGATGATGTCTGTGCCTTGGCCGCCGTGGGCCTTAACCCACTCCGCGATCTTGGGCAAGTACTTGCATTTTTGGCGGAGGTAATCCTTCATCGTAAGGTTGATGAGGTAGATCACCGGCTTGGTAGTGATGAGGCGCAACTTGATATTTTTTTTAGCATTGTCTCTTGAGCATTGTGGAATCCCGAACATACCTTCTCGTTGATCAACTCGATTTCCGGAGTCGTCCACTCTCCATCTCTAACAGGCTTGTCCTGTTCCAAGAGCTATAAAAAAAAGTCAGCAAACTATGTTTCGCACGTCTGTCCAAAGAGAGCTGGTTGCATACCTCCTTGATCTTGGCAGTTGTCTCGTCGAACAGCGGCAGCATCTTGAACTTTCCACCAGCCTTGCGCACGATTGCCTCTTCGGCCACCTTAGCCTTGGCAAGGATATCCAAATCCTTCTTACACAGCTCGCTCTGAATGGTATCTGCACGGCAGCACCATCAGCGTCTATTTCTCTTGCATCCTGAGGGGGGTGCGGGATTCTTACCCAAGTCGCGAACAGGATCAACGGAGTCATCCACATGAAGAACCTCATCGTTGTCAAACGCCCGCACAACATGGTACATGCCATCCACAGCCTGGATATGACTCAAGAAAGCATTTCCTAAGCCGGCTCCCTCACTCGCTCCCTTGATCAGTCCGGCGATGTCCGTAACCTGCAAGTACGCCGGGTATTTACTCGGTGGGTTCCAGACCTTGCACAAGAAGTCCTATCCCACAGAATTAGTTGGGCGCTCATTGTATTGAAGTGACATTGAAGTGACCAGAAAGGGAAAGAGCCTCCCGAGAGGGCTAAGATTCATCACGTGGCTATACCCACAGAGAAACCGGAAAATGGGAAAAAAAAATACATACATATCTTGGGTCAGGAACCACGCAGCGCGCTTCATTTGGCTCGATCGTGCAAAATGGATAATTTTCTGCCGCAGCGTTCTGCTCGGTCATGAGGTTGAACAGCGAACTCTTGCCCACGTTCGGTAGGCCGACACAGCCCATCTTGAGGTTGGACTTGACGCGCCCGAAGGCGACGACATTGTTCGTCGGCGCTTCCACTGCCTTCTTTGGTGCCATACTGGATTACAGTGCTGAATGAAGGTGTTGTTTTCCTACGATTTCTAAAGGCTCGTGTGCGTGCCACTTCAAAAATTTTGTCAATTATATTCCCGCCCACGGGCGTTCCTGGGTTCTCAGTTCATTGGTTAACTGTTCTTCTTCTCTCCACTTCGGAATAACGGGCCCTACTGCACATATGGGCCCATCACTGCAGACTTGGATAGAGCAGGTATTGTCTCTGAATCTTGAAGATGCTAAAATACTTTCGTGATCGATTAATTTAGGCTTTCTAGATGGGGAGATAAGCAACTATAAATGTTCAATAGTATCAAGAGCCTTTTAAATGCGTTTTTTTTTGGGACCTTTCGACTCAGCAAGTTTGATTAAAGATACTAAGCCCGACATTTAATTACCACTTTAATTATCTTGCTATGCCCTAATCCACTCGGATGTACTTTCAACATTATGAAAGATTGCCATTTTCGGCGACACCTTTACCGTTAGCGTTGTGGTGCAGAAACGTTCACATGCATAATATAAGTGCATGAAAACCAATAGTAGGTAAGATGCATGCTTCTTCGCAATATGCTAAGGCTCAAATACTATGACAGATCGAATACTTGAAGAAGTAGCCGTCATATGATTGTGACAAGATGTTCATCATAGATCAAGGAATGCTGCCAGTCAAGTCGCCAGAAAAACAAAACCAAGAACTGACCTTGAAAGCCGTTCGCGTCTTGTTGTCACACGCGTAATACGACAGCTTCAAAAGAATGCAAGTACTTCTGTCCGTGGCGAAGAGTTACGTTTGTCCGGGTTTGAGACCTTGAAATCAGCTCCCCGACCCCGTTTAGGAATGCCCGCATCGTTGCGCGTACACGAGTATAAAAGTACACAATGTGCCATGATTCCCCCGCTTTAAATAGGCCAGCTCACAGGAAGTTGAGTTCTGTATCAAACTCACAATTTTATCAAGTTAAGTACTACTTGGACAGTTGACTATGTTCCGTGGACACATTACCCGTTCTGAGTTGAGGTATGAATGTTCCTGATGCTAGTTTTCCGATAGTGACCTAACCCATGTTCCACTAGTCTGGATCAACCATGCATCTTCATTTCCGAAGATCGACACCCAGTTTCTGTAACAGGAAGACTCAATCTCACTCTTGCACAAACTGTCTCAGTCAAGAGTATCAAAGTGAGATTGAGGGGGATCTTTACAGTGTAAGGACTCCCATAACGTATTTCGTTGAATATCTTACTAATTCTATTCATAGCCCTATCGAGGGACTCTTTGGATCAGAGAGTCGCGAGCAGATCACATTCGAGCGAGAACAGCCACTCGCTGCTTCAAAAACGCTCAACGCATTCCAAATGCCGGCAGGAGACCACGCATTTCTATTCGATATTCCGCTTCCAAGTAAGATTCTTGATACGGCGACTGGTGTAAACCATCAATATCACACATATCGTGTAGAGGCCATCATCGAGCGCCGCCTCAAAAGCGACTTTGTGGTCTCACAGCCAGTTAGGATTTATCAAGTTTCCGACTTGGAGACAAGCTATTTAAGGCCATATTGCCCATTGGTTAGTACTTTACATCGGGTGCATATTGCGGCATACAAATGGCTGATGAAAGTAGACTCTCGAGGGTCACTCCAATGAAAATATCCAGTATTGCCTCTCCATCACTGACCGGAACGTTCCATTTGGTTGCACATTTTCTGTGGAATGTTGGTTTGCCCCGATGCTAAAATATGCCAAGCTCAACACTGTTGCAATCCAAGTGACTGAGAAACAAACTGCACTGTTGGAAGCTACTGCTGCAGAATCAGTGCGATACAACATGCGGTTTGTCACTGCAGCAAAAACTCAACCTGTTCTCTCCAAGACCATTAATTTCTCCCAACAGGATGAGTCTCCGGGAGATGATTGCCCGGAAATTGAATGGCGCTTCACCACATCCGTCTCTCTGCCTCAGAGCCTCGGCGCCTGCTCGCAGAGTATATCTACCAAATACCTCAAGATCACCCATGAGCTTTCTATCACTGCTGAGTTCCACGATGAGGCAGGGAACGTAACAGCTGAGGTATGCAAAAAAAAAAAAAAATTCCTTAGTCGAAGATTCACGACATGCAGCTGACAAAACTTAGATCACAAAAATTATGCCATTGAAGATTTATATGACACCTAATGTTATTGGAGACAGTGCATCCATTCATGTGGAGGATATCCAACTCATGCAGGGAAGCCAAAGTCCTCCCCCGGCTTATAGCGACCACTTTTCGGACTTGGTAGTATCGGCAGCTACGCAAATGAATCTATGTGAACATCTGGTGCGGGCAGAGATCGATTCTGCGCGATCGTCAAGTGAGGAAAGGGTGAGTATTCACACGGTGGATCCTGCTCCTCGATATGAAGAGATCGTATAGTCTGTTTGAGTCTGGACTGTTTTTGTGTCGACTCTTTTATCTACCCCGATGTTGATATTGTGTCAGCTTCACTGAATTTTTGGAACAAGGGCTAAGAGCTTCCTTTTCGCAAATTTCCTCTCATTCCATCTGTCAGATGCTTTAATGAAACTAATTCATGTCGAATTCCAAGTCTCATTGCACCTTGTAGACCAGTCCCTCTTCAGCCCCTACTTGTCCATGACACAGCCTCTCCCACCCTCCCTCGACGCCTCCGGCACCAGAGACACCACTGCCAAACACAATCTTCATGCCTGGCTCGCTCAAATGTCGCACATCCAGCCATTTCTCCCACTGTGCACTTTTTGTTGCGAAGTAGGCTTCCGCACCGACAGACTCGAGGATCGTATCTTGAACCCCGGAAGTGTTGAATAGAACTTTTCCAAGCTCTGCCACCGCTGCTCTCCCAGCAATAGTTTCCTCCGTTGAGTACACCTTCTGCTCACTGCCAACCTGGACCGTGACAACCTTGCAAGATTGCAACTCAGCATGATTCTTGATCAGCGAGAGCGTGTCATGGAGAGAATTCCCACGACCCCCAAAGTCCATGATAACAATCTTCGAAGGCTTCCAGCTAGCCAGCCACTCCGCAGACTCCCTAGAACCAACAGTTCCATACCCAACCACCTTAGAAGGAACAGAAGTAGAGAAAATCCGATCCGCTTCCTCGATGCGCGACACAGCTGATGTAACCTGCAACAAGCCAAGGGGTGCCGAACCGTTCGGCTTTCGCGACACGTAGGATGAGAAAACACGGGCCGTCTTAGTCGACGCGGCTAGGTTCACCACGACCGCGGATGACAAGTCCCCGTCGGATAGGGTCCACTGCAACCCAGCTTGGTTTCCCAGTGGGTGGATGGGGGGTTGGTTTGGGTCAGACGAGAAAACATACTCGCTCAGAACGAACCCAGCCAGCCCGCCAATGAACAGTGTGGTCCAGGCCAAGCGGTCTAGCTCATTCTGCGCAGAATCCGAAAGGGGATTGAGCGCCGTGGTCAGGTCGGAGATGGAGTTCGACGTCGGAGCTACCGTGTAGCGGTTGTACAGCGGCATCAGTTGCTGGCGGTGGTCGCTGGTCTCGATCCAGTGGCCTTCTGGTGATCCGCGTTTGAGTTTGAGATCGGTTAATGTGCTGGTCGTCGGCCAGAATCCGTAAAGGAGTGTTCCTTTGGGCAATTCTGGAATCGTTGTCTCTTCCACCGTTGCATAACCCCAGGCTGGAACGATCCCCCATGCCGATGGGTCGTTGTATGGTGCGGGATAGTCTTCAGATACGGGGTATGCGTCCCACCTGCCAGTGGTGAGAATCTCGTTTCATGTCGTCTTGCGACTGTCTCATCTAGTCTGGATAGAGAATGGCAACGTACCAACGCAAGAGCCCACCCATCCGGGCATAGGTCAAGTTGTTTGAAGTGAGACTGATCAGTTGCGTGCGAATGCTCACCGAAGAGTCCGATCGTTCACGCTGAGCAGGAATGTCAAGGTCGAAGCTCGCATGCTGGCGGTTGTCCAGCTTTGAAACCACATGAACACCCATGGTTGATCCGTTTGGTCTTAAGGCAATTCTCGGTTGAAACGAGTTTTTATTCAGACTGATTACTGATCACTAGCATGAAGATCAGCGGGGAAACCCCACCAGCTGAGAAAGACTACGAGGGGTTCAGGACGATTATGCACCTTTGTGCATGATAGCATGCATCTTGAGTTTATGTTGACATTGTCATTGTTTCGAAATGAGCCATCATATCAATCACGTATTCATAACTATGTGCTCCAACCAGCTCTAACCCCACCCGCCAGATCTTGAAGAGGCTCGGTGTCAACATAACACCAACTTGAGAAGACCATCCATTCAAAAGAGGTGATTGATTTAATTTGCTCTACACCAAGAGCGCCATAATATACTAACACTCCGGGCTAACCCTTGTCACACGGGGATCAAGTCTTGTACATAGCGAAGAGGGGAAGGTTCAAGGCTGTTCTCAGGCATACGGGCCGATTCAGCTTCGTTCTCAACTTTACATGAAAAAGAATCCAGGAAGGTTTGTTCGGAAGTGAACTCGGAGAGGTGTAGAAGTGGATAGTCTCAATCTGTATCTCGCCCTGTGTCTAACGACTTGCATACTTCGCTCCTCATGCTTACATAGCGGGAATCGTCCATTCACAGAAAGGACAAGGTCCATACATAGGGGAGGGTCGAGTCCCTCACTATAATAGGTATCCAAGTTCACATCCCATACATCCAAACACCGATCTGATCTTGACAATCTATATGTTTTCATACATTCATGGAGCTGTGCCTTTTGAGCTCATTCCAACTCCGACGGGTTCTCTTCTACCTCCTATCCCGAGATTGCGATATGAGGCAGATTCCTCGTTAACATCCTGTCGCTCGCGACCAGACTATGTAATGATTTGCATTTGTCACACCACGGTCACAAACAAACAAATTGTCTGCGGTAATGTTGCCATCCCAGGGCATGGACATACCTAGGTATTACATGATATAAAGGGTCCAGAGCCGATTTCAAAATTCGTCGTATCAAACAGGCCCAGGCCCCTGGCGAAGAGCTGCCAAAGATGAAAGGGAATGGAGAATTAAAATTTGGCTATGCTGAAATTAGAGGCAGACGTTGGGAAGTGCACGAGGGAGTGGCAGATTTAAAAGAGAATTTTATAAAGCCAAAACAAAAAACCGGGATACCAGCGAAAAGTAGATCCACGCGAAGATTAGAGCGCAAAGGAATGAATGCAGAGGAAGACCACCATACAGAGAGAAGACCAAAAGGACGAAAAAGAAAGAAAGAAAGAAAGGAAGATACAGGATAGATACGCAAAGGAGAGTGGTATAAACAACTTGGAGATATCAGAGATGAGTTCAATACTCGAAAGAGATGAGGATTCCAATAATGGGTAGGGGGATTGAAGGTTCGGATTCAGATCGCTTGTAAAATGACGGGTTTCATGCCCGCGCACTACTTGCACTTTGCTTGCGCGGGGTGGGTGTTGCGCAGAGGTTGGGATGGGGATTATGTATGTATTGTCGGCCGTTGACTGGTGTTTCGTAATGAGGGTTTCGGATGCTTGGAAGTTTGACATGTAGACCGTTGGAATAGATCGGGTCATAAATAGGCATGGTTCAGGAGGGCAGGTGGGATTAGAAAATGACGAATCGTTTCTGTTTGGCAGGGCTTTCGACTTCGGGTTCTGAAGAGTTTGTAGGACGTCAGCGAAATGTACATGGATCCAGATCTGGCTTGGTTAACTCACCCTGACCCTGACTTGGACTCTTATCCTTGCGCTCGGCTTTCTTGAGCCTGCCTCCGTTCCGCGTCGCTCCATTGCGCCCAGCCACGCCTTGTTGTGAGCCTTCTGCGGCAGCTCGGATTGTAGCAATGCGATGCTTGGCTCGCTCATCGCCCTGATCCGCTGCCTTGACGTACCACACATTTGACTCGAGAGGATCCCGACGACAGCCAATACCCATTTCAGTAAAGTAGCCAACGGCATACTCGGCCTTCGCGAGGCCGAGATTCGCAGCCTGCAAAGCCCACTCGTAGGCCTCGTTCTCATCCTTCTCGAGCACTGGCTCCGCGCCAATGAGATACCACGCACAAAGCGCCATCATTGACACCGGATGCCCGCTCTGCGCAGCACAGGTATAGAAATGGATGCTGAGCGCCGGGTCGCGCGGACAATTCAGCTTCCCATGCTCATACGCATCTCCAAGCCGATAGCAAGCCTCCACATGACCCAGTTCCGCGGATTTAGTGAATAGCTGCGCGGCATAAGTAGCATCGGGGAAGACATCTTCTCCGAAGCCCTTCTCGTGCATGACACCGAGCTCGTACGGGCCGGAGTTGTACTGCGCATCGGCGGATTCGGTAGCGCGCTTCATCCACTTGACCCCCTCACGGTACCGCTTTCCCAGTCCCATGTCGCCGGCGATACAGGCGTGGGCCATGCGTATCATGGCGCCCGGGTGGTTTTTCGACGCTGCCTGGCGGTAGAATTGCACGGCACGGCTGCCGTCGGCGCGACATCCCCAGCCGAACTCGTAGCACAGCGCTGTGCGGTAGCAGGCTTCGACGTGGCCGTGTTTGCTGGCTGCGATGAAGAGCGGGAAGGCTCGGTCATGGTCCTCAACACCTTTGCTGAAGAAGCCTGACGCGTACCCGTCGCCGAGATAGTACTGTGCGAAAGGGTAGCTGCGGTCTGCGAGACGCTGGAGGATGGATTTTGATTCGCGGAGAAGACGAACGCGCGTTATGGGGCTGGTATCGTTTTGGTCCGTGACTGGCATCTCGCGCATCGAGTTTACCATGAACACGGCGAATTCGTACAGTACCTTGGGCTCGTCGGTTTTCTTTACATTCGCGAGATACATCTCGAATGTCTCCTTGTGGCTCAGAAGAGAGGCGTTGTTTCCGATTGAGGCTTGAAGACGCGAGTTGTCGAATTGTGCTGTTGGGCCGGGCTGTGGGTATGAGGTGTTGAGCAAATCGAGGAGTGAAGAAGACCTGTTTTCGGGGGTTCCAGTCGAATTCTGTGGCGAGGATTGCGCCTGTAGATACGGCGATGCGGAGAGGTTCCGGCGGTGACCCCCATCTGAGCCCGAGGAGTATGTCGAAAGAGGCCGCGAAAGCCTTGATCGCCTAACGGCCAGCTTATCGGTCGAGGCGGACGGGTTATCTTCGGTATTGGGTGCGGGTTTCTTGGTTGGTGTTGCAGCCGGCTGTTGCTGGTGGTGGTAGGTCAGAGGTTCGCAGCTATCCGACGCCTGGGCCACGCTATCCAAGCTTCCCTGCGAAGTGCGGTAGCTCGGACCCTCGCGCTCCAACGAGGGGCCGCTCTTTTTCGGGGTTCCATGTGCGTCATCTTTCTGTGGCTCTACTACCGACCACGAGCCGCTGCTCGCTGGGGTGTGACCATTCGAATGTGTGTAGTGTGAGGCCTGTGATAAGTCTCGCCGCGGACGATGAGCAGGATTCCAGCTCTGCTGAGGTGGCTGTACGGGGCTGTCAAGTGACAAGTCTGCAAACTCGGTGAGCTCCAATTGCGGTGTGGTGGGCCCACTGTATGCGCCGTCGATGCGCGCTTTCGGGGCATCGGGGATGTCTGCGCCATGTGCAATTTTGACCGGTGAGTGTGGAGAATTCTGAATCACGAGAGAGCTTTGGGACTGCGACGCTGAACCTGATTTGCGGTTGAGGTTCAAGCTTTGGGGTCGGTTCGGGATGGTCCGTGGTGATGATGGGTTGAATGGCGGTGATGATCGGAGGTGAGCTGGTGGGGGAGAAGGCAGGGTCTGGTGTACCGGGGCAGGACTGGCCATGGTGTGGTAGGATGTTAACGAAGGTCGAAAGCGAACGGAGGTAGGAGATCCATGAAGAAAAGCGACTGGCTTAGTACTCGATGGGCAATCCGTGGAGAAAATGCGAACATCGCTAAAAGAGTGGACACGACACTATTAGAGATTATTTCATCTACGCACGTCAAGGGAACTTGGAAATGAGAGAAAAGAAAATACGAACAATACGGAGCAAGGGTTCCTTTTTTTTTTCCCATCAAAAATCTCGCTTTTTATTGTGTCTGATCCTTTTTTTTTGGTCTCATACGCTAATATGATCGAGTGGGGATGGTCTATAATTATGTCGCTAGCACCTTCGTAGCACCGAAGAACACGACAATCCTCGGTATTAAAAACTTGCGAAAGATGATGCCTACCAGGTCTGAGAGTGATTTCCGAGACATGCCAGGGTCTAATCGGTGGTCTAACAGCGCCCAAGACATGCCTCTGGCTCTGTACGGAGTACTCCGTACTTGGAACCGTCAAATCCCCTCTTTCACTGTGGAGACGGGGACACTTTTAAGTGGCATCACGGATTTTCATTTGGTGTTTAGTCCGTTCGTAGTGTCGTTAGTGCCCGACCATTCCGGGGCTCTGTGCGTGGCAGATGTGGAAAGTGGAAGTATGGACCCGTGGATGTTAGACAGGACATTTTTTTGGGTTTTTTGTATAGGATGGAACTCAATTAGAAGAGACGGTCAGCTTTGAGCATTCCCGGCTTGAAACAGAGGGGTCTGAGCGTAAAATCGCGAGAGTCGTTCTCCTATGTCCTAAAGGAAAGGAGATTCCATTCCTTTCGCACACAGCTGGTACTGTATGCTTGCAACCACCTCGTCAAAGTACAGATCAAAAGCCAAGGACCCTCAGATGACGACAGTACCTAGGCGACTGCATCCATTAGATAGTACCCGATATTCCAGTACCAAGTGCTAGGTACTAGGTATTTGGGGTTGGAGCTTACTGTACCACGGCTAGTGATGCAGAGAGATGCCATGCCGTCAGGTAAGAGCCGACGAACGGGGCCAGGAAACCGGATTCGTCCAGATCTCGCAAATCCGAAGCCAAGTGGATATCTCAATGGGGTTATGTTCGCATGGTCAATGAAAACTTTCATTCCTGGCATAAGAATGTCGATAAAGATGTGGTCTTCGAGGTAACGGAACGGTGCATATGCACTATGGGGCGATGAACTCTGGGGACTGCCGTGATCGGCCCGCCAGTGTCGATCATAATGGTCGGGCCTGAGGGTACGGAGTCGCTATAGAGTACAGGGGTATCCTGGATGGTTTACATCCAGACAATGCCCTTTTTGACCTCGATCCAGTCCCATGTAAAGAGTTCGGTGGCTAGAACCCAGAGTGGTACTCCGTCCGGAGTACCCATCCTCATGTTGATCAAGGGTGTCATACCTCCAGGTGAACCGCGTCTTACATCCTGAAGACTTTTGATTTTAGATCACACCGACTCGAAACACACTCTTGTTCTGATATGCTTCACCAAGCGGTTTCTAGGGGGTGGGGGGGGGGGGGTTCCCAGGGGGTAAGGGGATAAATAAGAAAGGCCCCCAGTTTCGATTCTCTTGTCTGAATTAGGAACTCCGCCCTCCGTAGTTGTATTCCGTCGGGTTGCAAACCGTGGCAATTAGATATCAAGCGTGGCAATTACCTAAGACCAGTGGATAGCGTCTTAACCCAAAAGAGAAAAGGGAACCCCGTGATCAGAAAATGTTGTTCCCATGGATTTTGTACCTTGGAGGACAAGTGATTGGTCTATCGGGCGATGAGAATAGTGTGATTGGCCTACTTCGTACCCCTAGCGACGAGATTTATGGTGTAAATCTCTTAATCACTGGAGATGTCTGAGTACTATGGCCAGGTAAAACATGCCTAACCTTTCTCAGGCTAAGCGTCAGAAAGCCCGTACAGGGTCTTTGTCTCAGAGCCTCCCTTTTTCCTATAAACATGTTCGTTGCTACTGATCTATTACTACTCCGTACTCCGTACTCTATTCGCTCTTCTCTGTGTTTTAGATCTGTCAATTTCTTGCATAGGTGGGGGCTTTGTTGATTCTCCACCTCGTTGCACAGGCCGACCGTACCACTTTCGCTGAGAACTCCCTTTGCATTTTGACAACTCTACTTGCTGGTCGATAAAGACAGTTGTAAAAGAGATTGAAACAAAATCACGAGTCTTATCATTTACATCGAGGACCGGATCAGTGCATTTGACATGCTTCAGACGGCAAACCACCGATCCGCATTGTGAACAGTCTTTCTCCACACCACCTGCTGCTGATGAGCCGCAGATAGTCAAAGTGAGTTGCTACCAATTCAAAGGTCATCAAGTTAGCAGCCTCCGAGTCGGGATTGACTAACATCAGCCACTCTCACAGGAGCGAAATGTCTTTGCCGCAGAGGCCAGGCAAGCCCTCTCCTCGGCGCGACGAAGGCCGCGCATTTCGCGAATCCTATCAGCGCCGTCGACGAGATATCGACTCGGGCGCTTACAGCGATGACCCCATTTCCCCTTCCCACCGACATCGTCGCCGACATTCCAGCCACCGAAGAGCAATGGACACCGACGAAGAGCGCATGGACCGGAGCGGCGATGTGAGACACAAAAAACGCATGGTCAAACCAGAGCGTAGGAACGACGACCGCGAACAACCCAACTATCACTATCGTCAAAAATCAACCCACATGCCCACTTATCCCTCGACAACGGGAAACGATCCGCTGTTGGATAACAGAGATGGCGAGGCGGAGACGAACAGCTCGCGCAGCATGGACATGAAGAACAAGGATGGTCTGTACGGTGCGCGGGGTAATGTCAACAAGCCCATGGAGCGGGTTCCTAGTAGACGTCGCTCAAAGAAGAAGAAGAGAGGCTCGCGGAGGTCATCGAAGGGAGCTGCGGATGAACAGAAACGCCTGAAGGCTATGCAGCAGAGTGGCCCGCCCGAGCTCTGGCCAACATATTGTACCGTGCTCACATTCTTCATCCCGGACTTTGTGCTAAAATGCTTCGGCATGCCACAGAAAGAGCAGCGCACTGCTTGGCGGGAGAAGATTGGCCTCATCAGCATCATTCTGATGGTCGGTGCTTTTGTTGGTTTCCTGACTTTCGGTTTCACGGCTACGGTTTGTGGTTCACCCCCGGTTCGATTGAAGGTCAACGAAATCAGTTCCAACTACATGATCTTCCACGGAAGGACATACGACTTGGCCGGTTCAAAACACCCCGCTGCCGCTGGTATTCCCGGTGGTTCCAATGTTATCTACGACTTGCCACACAAATATGGCGGACAGGATGGCAGCTTCTTCTTTCAGCAGGTGAATGGTGCGTGCAAGGGGTTGATTACGGCTCAACCTGGTAGTGATATTCCAACAAATTCCAATGGAGATCTCGGGTGGTATTTCCCCTGTGCACCCTTCAACCAGGATGGTTCGTCCTCGCCAAATTTAACCGCTCCATTTTACACGGGCTGGGCTTGCCACACCAGCAAAGCGGCTCGTGAGCCATTCTACTCGCTGAAAAGTGATGGAGATGTGTACTACACATGGGAGGATACGAAGAACAAGAGTCGAAACCTGGCGGTATACTCCGGAAATGTGCTCGACCTTGACCTTCTCGCTTGGTTCGACCGTACTCAGGTGTCCTATCCCAAACAATTCGACGAGCTCCGCAAGAACCCGGATGTCCGCGGTGTTGATCTTACTTACTACCTACAAAGTGGGGAAGAGAAGAAGATCGGCAAGTGCTTGGCGCAGATTATCAAAGTCGGCAGCATCGACACTGATACTATTGGCTGTATCGCGTCGAAAGTCGTGCTCTACGTATCCCTGATCTTTATTCTCTCCATCGTGGTTGTGAAATTCGCTTTCGCCCTGCTTTTCCAGTGGTTCCTGATCAACAGGTATGCCGCGCAGACCACGAGCATGTCCTCCGATGCTCGGACTCGCAATCAGCAGATCGAAGACTGGTCCAACGACATCTATCGGCCCGCTCCTCGAATCGCCGAAACCACCATTTCCGATCGCTTCAGCAAACGTTCCAGTTTCTTCCCGACCACTTCCCGTTTCTCGAGTCCGTACAATGTGAGCAGCAGCACTGGCAGCAAGCAAAAGCCCATGTATATCACGATGGCGAGCCAGAACTCAACTTCTCGTCTCATGCCCAGCTCTAGTCCTAGCACTATGTACAAGTTAAGCCACAGTGGTAGCGGGGGAACCCTGAGCGCTGATAACTCTCGGCATAACCCTGCTGCAAGTCGGACTAGCTTGATTCCTCCCGCCCAGGGTCAGCAAGATTCGGGTTATACCACACTGTCGACGGATCATGATGGCTCGGGTCCTGCTGCCTTCATTCACGAGGCTGTTGTTCCTCAGCCTCCGCCTGAATGGCAGCCATTCGGCTACCCTCTAGCTCACAGTCTTTGTCTGATTACTTGCTACTCTGAAGGCGAAGAGGGTATCAGGTCGACTTTGGATTCAATTGCCACGACCGACTACCCGAACAGCCACAAAACGATCTTGGTCATCTGTGATGGTCTTATCAAGGGCCAGGGAGAGGAATTTTCCACGCCAGATATTGTCTTGGGCATGCTCAAGGACCCTGTTATTCCCAAGGACGAGGTCCAGCCCTATTCCTATGTGGCCGTCGCTACTGGCTCCAAGCGACACAATATGGCCAAAGTCTACACTGGGTTCTACGACTACGGCGATACTTCGATCATCCCGGCGGAAAAGCAACAGCGTGTTCCTATGATGGTGGTTGTCAAGTGCGGAACTCCACAGGAGTCAACGCTATCAAAGCCTGGTAATCGAGGCAAGCGAGACAGTCAGATCATTCTCATGTCTTTCCTCCAGAAGGTCATGTTCGATGAGCGTATGACGGAACTCGAGTTTGAGATGTTCAATGGCCTGTGGAATGTCACAGGCATCGCGCCGGACTTCTACGAGCTTGTTCTCATGGTCGATGCCGATACCAAGGTGTTCCCGGACAGCTTAACACACATGGCCTCGGCCATGGTGAAGGACCCAGAAATCATGGGTCTCTGCGGAGAGACCAAGATCGCTAACAAGACCGACAGCTGGGTATCAATGATCCAAGTCTTCGAGTAAGTTTTCCACCGTTGAGCAACCGGTACAACAACTAATTCTGCAATAGGTACTTCATCTCTCACCACCAAGCCAAATCATTCGAATCCGTCTTTGGTGGTGTCACCTGTCTCCCTGGATGTTTCTCCATGTACCGAATCAAAGCCCCCAAGGGCGGCCAAAACTACTGGGTCCCGATTCTCGCAAACCCCGACATCGTTGAACACTACTCGGAAAACGTCGTCGACACCCTCCACAAGAAGAACCTGCTCCTTCTTGGTGAAGATCGCTACCTCACGACCCTGATGCTCAAGACCTTCCCGAAACGCAAACAGATCTTCGTCCCCCAAGCCGTCTGCAAAACAGTCGTTCCTGACTCATTCCTCGTCCTGCTCTCTCAGCGCCGTCGTTGGATCAACAGTACCGTCCACAACCTCTTCGAACTGGTCCTCGTCCGTGATCTGTGCGGAACCTTCTGTTTCAGCATGCAGTTCGTCATCTTCATCGAGCTGATCGGAACCCTCGTCCTACCCGCCGCCATCTCATTCACCATCTACGTCGTCATCGTCTCCATCGTTAGGAGACCCGTCCAGATCATTCCGCTCGTTCTGCTTGCCCTGGTCTTGGGTCTGCCGGGTGTTTTGATCGTCGTCACGGCACACAAACTCGTCTACGTGCTCTGGATGTTGATTTACCTCCTCTCGCTTCCGGTCTGGAACTTCATTCTGCCCATGTATGCGTTCTGGAAGTTTGATGACTTCAGTTGGGGTGACACCCGGAAGACTGCAGGGGAGCAGGACAAGGGACATGGTGATGGCGAGGGTGAGTTTGATAGTACGAAGATCACGATGAAGCGGTGGCGGGATTTTGAAAAAGGTAGGTCTTACTCTGTCCTCCTGGAAGGATTGGATGGATGGATGGATTCTAACATTCTTGTCAGAACGCCGCCTGCACAGTGCTTGGTCCCAGCCGCAAGCTTCGACGGATCCTTATCCTTCGCAGCACGAGACATACTCACATTTTTAACGAAAGCGATAGCGCTTGTTTTGTTGTTTTCCCCTTGTGTTTTGCTTCTATCTGTTTCTCCCGGATGCATCTGGTTTCGATGTGATCGTACCCGTTCCATGCCGGCGTTCAAATATTCTTATAATGTAGTTCAGGGCGCTGCACGACTGACGAGTTGATTATTTCACGTGTGCTCATATCTTGATTCTTGTTGGTTGTTTTTCGCTTCTGTTTCAAGCCTTTCGCTCTAGTTTGTACTTTGTACAGCTACTTTGTACAGCGTTGCCCTGTTAGTCCATAAATCGCCATCCTCATCGACACTGCGTAATCACAAAAGCGTGAGAAATCCGGTAAAGCAACATGAACCATTATGCTAGTTCTGGTCTGACATTTCACAGGTCAACTACACAGCCCGATGTATGTTCAGCCCAAGCTGTGCCCGAAAGGATCAAAGCGCAAGTCACCGGGCTGATCCGGTTGAAATCTGCATGCGTTCGACCTATATGTAGAGTACTCCCTGCATTGTTTACGTTTCCACAAGCGAGGCTAGAGGGGATATATTAGATCTAGATTGAACATGGCTTTGCTAAATTTCGATTATTTACTTCCCATGCTTCATTGAAACTAAGATGGGCACCTTTTTTTTATAATCCTATAATAATCAGAGTGCACACTCGAGAGTGATCATGATTAGGCTAAATGTTCAGACCTTTAACATCGCATTCTTTCTACCAAGTCTATCATCTTTACCTGGATCCTCTCTTTTCGGCATCTTCTCCCCGAAAGGCGGAGAATGTCAACTCACGTTTTTTCTTCCCACGTTCGATCTGAAGAGGAATATCCCCCTATCTTCCTCTTCTGTCATACCTTGCAGGCCCCATCTCCACCAGAAACGTCTACTGTCCTGTGGATTTCCCCCCTCTATTTCCCTTTGGATCAGCCCACAGCGATTGGCGTTTTACTTCCCACTAGTAGCCATAGCAGAAGCCAATATTACAAATTACAACATCACGCTGGTATTTAATCTCCATTAAATTTCTCTTACCCGGCTCCCCCTGAACTCCCCTCCGCGGTTGAACTTGGCATTTCTGTCTCGCTCGCTTTCCGCTCTCCGCCTTTCCCTGCTCGCGTCATATACGTGGGCTTGGAAATCAACGCCACTCCTGCAGTGTGGGGTTGAACTCTACGAGTCAGTATCAGCAGCTGCGAGACACTGCACAAGCAACCCCAGGATCTGTGTGACTCCCCAAAAGTGTTACCGTAGGTATATGTTGTACTCTGACACGATCTATCCGAGTACTCGATCGTTCTCCTCTCGTGCGACCGCTGCCTGTCCTCTACCCAATTTGACTTTTTGGGACGTGATCATCCGTTCCCCCTTGCTGCAAGGTGCCTGAAATAGAACAACTCTCAGTTGGGGTTGAGGTACAACTTATCGAGGTTTAGAGATAGATGTCCAGGACGGGCGATGCTTCATTCTAACTGTAACTTTGCGAACTGCCCCTCCGATTTCCCTCTGCCCACTTGCGAGATCCCGCTGCATCACCGCGCCATGTGTCATGTGATATCGATGGTCCTTCAGTTCAACCCCGGGTCATAAATCTTTCTCCACATCTATTTGTGACTGGGCTGCCTGGTCGGGAAGACATTACGACGGTCTTGAACACCACTTTCGATTCGAATATGTTATCTACCGATCGATTTGCCACGCCTCCGAATATGACCTCCGAAATCGATCGCCACTTACATGACGTGGGTGTTGCGGCTCTTGCTGCTGTGTCCCACTACCCGCGTGTCGTGGATAATGCGTACAGTGACTCCTTTATGGTGTCGGAAGTTGTTCACGCTGTTACAAGTGCTAGTAGTACTCTGGATTATCGACATTTGGACTCGGCGGGTTCGTTGCTGCCGGGAAACAGGGGTCATTTTCAACAATCTGGAATGAGAGGTGTCCCTTCGGCTGGACCAGCGTTTGTCTTTGGCGCGAATCCGAGTGGCGATGTGGACATGGAAACGATTGTCCGGGGTTTGATTCATCGCACCGCCGGCCGGCAAGATATCGCCACCGCACCAGACAGCGACATCGAGGATGCTCCGGAGGTTATGGTGAGGGATTACGAGTCAGCTACTATGGAAGATAACCCGTCGCCCCTGTCGACGTCCGATGATGAACTTGAAGACTTTCTTCGGTTCTATCCGGATGAAGAGGAGTATTACTACCAGCGCAAGGACCGCACGGCGCATGAAGCTGAAATGCCGGACTGCAATCTAGACGATTTTTATAAAACTATCAGCTATGACGATATTCATGTGGATCTTGCCCAAACAATGAGTTTGTCTGCAACCGAACCTTTAGGGAACTTCACCGACGATCAAATGGAATTCGCCGGACCACATCCCGCATCTATAATCCACACATCCAGTAAGGCGCTATGGCTTTTGACACAAGACTTGAGCTAATTCCCCTCTAGCGTATGAGCGAAATTTCACTATTGATGAATTCATTCGGCACTGGATGGTCTCAATTAACGTCATACCCCGTGGTTTCCATTCTGAAAGTCGAATTCCACCGCAACTCCGCCCGTTTTCAAAAATGATTAGCTGGAAACCACCACAGGTGGTTGATCGGCCCTCTGGATGGAGATGCGATTTCTATGATCTGCAGCAGATCCCATGGACGGAAATTTTACGGGTGACACGGCCCGATGCACGAGCCGTGCGCGACGCCTGGTATACCTCCTATCACAACTTGAACTACTCGCGCATCAACCATGCAGAGCGCCTTCCACAATCTGAAACTTTTTTCCGCGAGAGATCCATGCACACTTCGCACACAGCATCTATCGAGCACTTCCAACTCCGCAATCTGATGTCGACTCCTGCATCCAACACCGTCCATTTCGCTTCCCGCTCAAAAGTATTCTCCTGGACCCCAACAACCGGGGATGCACGCTGTATAATCGACATGAGCCAACCAGACCTAGAATCCGGCTTCCTCGGACCCGTCAAAATCTCAACCATGAAAACAGCCCACGGCCTCACAATCGCAGGGGGCTTCTGCGGCGAATACGCCCTACGTAGCACCGGCGGATCCAACCCTAGCATAAGGGGCCTCGTAACCCCCGACTTCAACGACGGCATCACCAATCACGTCGACATAATTCCCAACCGAACCGGCCCCTCCCCAAGAGGCGTCTTCGCCTCCAACGACAAACACATTCGCATTCTCGACACAGAAACAAACGTCTTCATCTACGACCAAGAACTCTCCCAACCAATCAACTGCACCGCCACATCCCCCGATACTCGTCTGCGCGTCGTAATTGGTGATTCCCCAGATGCATGGGTCATCGAAGCCGATACAGGCCGTCCAGTCCACGCCCTCCGCGGCCACCGTGATTTCGGCTTCGCTTGCGCCTGGTCACCAGATATGCGCCACATCGCAACATCCAATCAAGACAAAACAGTCATCATCTGGGACGCGCGCACCTGGCGTCCGCTTGAGACTATCGTATCCGACGTCGCGGGATACCGCTCCCTACGCTTTTCACCCGTCGGCGGTGGCCCACGTACTCTCCTCTGCACCGAGCCTGCGGATCGCATTTCTATTGTCGATGCCCAGCTCTTCCGCTCAAGACAGGTGCATGATTTCTTTGGTGAGATTGGTGGTGCGGATTATGCGCCTGATGGTGCTGAAATTTGGGTTGCTAATACGGATCGTCATTTTGGTGGGTTCATGCAGTTTCAGCGCGGACAGTGGGGGCAGCGGGTTGGGCTGACGGATTTGCCATGTGAGTGGGTTACCGAGGAGGAATCGGAGGTGGACTCGAGGTGTCTGTTGAGTAAGAGGGAGAGGGGTCTGCGGTTTCTGAGGAATTTATCGGATGAGGAGCATGATGAGTTGATTCTTTGATTTGCTGCCGTTTGTCCTTGCAGGGATGATTCTCTTGTCTGTTGGCTACCGTCTCTTTCATTTTGGTTTCCTCTGAGTTGGTATTCTTTGCGCCGTTTCATCTTCATCTGATACCCTGGGCTACGGTGTAGGAGGTTTTATTTATTGTGTTCGTTTCTTTTGGTTTAGACTTTTGGATGTGGATTCATGATGAGCAAATCGCTCTAGAGGCCGGCTCGTCTCCATCATCTGTCATTCTTAGCTCCTCTCAACTTGATAGTACAGGTATATCTACCTTGCCCATCTCATCTCAGTTTTCGCTACTTCTTACCCCCCAGACACTCTCGCTTTTTTCTTGGCCTATCCACCAGAACACGCTAGCATTTGTTCGCACCTGTCCTTCTGTCTTCTTCTCTTCTCTGTTGGCATGATAATGGACAAAGCTGAGCGTCCTGAAACCTCCACTCAAGCTTATTTTATACAATCTAGCTAATCTCAACCTCATCTCCTCTCGATTGCTAGCAGTACTGAAGCATCGCCAGGCTCAAGATGGAAAGTCTGACTCGGACTTTGAGAAACATCCACTGCGGTGTTCCACTTGGAGATCGAGAGAATTGACCATTCAGACCTTAAGCAGGTAGCAGACTAACGCAGACGGCCTTGGACAAGATTCCCCGCTACCGATTCCGGGTTGCCTCCCCGAATTCCGACGGGACGACAAATGAGACGTGGGTGCGTTCCAATTTGACCGATCGGGTCTGGAACCCCCTACGCAAGACATCTTCCTCAATTTGAATACCGAGAAACGGATGACCATAGCTCAAACACTCAATGTATACTGTCGATGGTGAAGCAATCACTACCTCGAGAACCCGTCTGTTTCATTGACTAGCTCGCTGCTCTTCGCATTGTAGTAGATCTACTACCGACATCAACGCCCTCACAATGGATCGTGTTTAGCATAGATCAAGCTGTACATTTGGTATGATGTGGCTCCGTCAAGGCAATTTTCGGAGTGATTGGGATCTGATGGATACATTCCGCGAAGATGACGACCACCCGGCAGCAGATGACCTGGAGAGCTTCCGCCGCATTCGCAACAACACTCAACGTGATTTGGAGAATACCTTTGACAAGAATCACAGAACGAGGGAAAATGTGAGATCATATCTGTCTTTGAACATGGTCAATTACGCCGTCTACAACCTCTTTTTTTGTGAATTCCAGGATTTTCCTTTTTAACGAAAAAAAACCGGCGTGGGTACGAGAAGTCCTTCGGAAGGGAATTTGGTAGGGTACCGAGATCCACACCAATTTCATCGTTAGAGAGATTTTACGACAGCCTTCATCGAGCTGGAGATTCCCTCTGGCTCTTTACTTTACCTCACTTATGGGCTCTGAAGTGTGGCTATGGAGAATCTATCTTTGAGACATTTCCAATCTATCATTCCCGTTGACGAGGCTATCCATCTTTCCACGCTTTGCAAACAAGATTTGACCCCATGTACTTGTGATTTGAAGGACACCGATCGTTGCGTTCTTCCGACGTGAAATTGTCACAGAAGCCAGCCACCAGACTCTTTCCTGACATGCACAAGTACGATGCATTGACACAGGCGCTAGGTTAGTGCATTTCGCTCCCACACTCTCTCTCTCTCTTTCTCTGTTTCTTTTTTGAGATCAGAATTCAGATCCTGAAAAAAAAAAGGTCGAAGCAACCATTTGCAGATTACGTCTGGGTAATGGTTTCTCGGAGGATGGACGTGATATTTTGTTCCTACCGATCCAAATTCAGTGTTGGATCGTGCAGGCCTCCTTTAAATAAAGCTTCGTTCAGTGCAACATCTGTGTGAGAAGATCGAAAAGGCGATTTCATCAGATACAGTACAGGGGGGAATCTGTCCGTTTCGTTCTCTTTCCCATATTAATTTTTTTTTAGGGCGAGTGACAGCATGACATAGTTACTGTCCACTGCTTCAACCTGTCAACTGCTTCAATCTATTCGGCGATGTGTTACGTATGCACGTTACTATTAAAGGATCTCAATCTTTGAGGGTCAAAGGGCATCCACTTAGCGCCAGATGTACGGAGGACTCCGTATCATATTACCTAATGCCCCAAGCCGAGGAACGACTTGCATGACTCTGGGCCTCGGTATCTACAGTCCCGCTGAAGAGATCGGGACATTTCATGGGACAGCCTAGGAAGTTGTAGCAGAGGAAAAAAAGGGTCTGTCTACAACCAAGTCACTGACGTCTGACTGTCCGTGATTCTCTTCCTCCAAGTTCTGTTGCTCTATGATCCTGGCGAGCACTATCAGCCCTTAGTGCAACTGCTGCTTCTCGTAGTTCCTCCAGATTTACTCCGAACTATCGCCTAAAACATACTAAAAGCTACTAACACCACCAAAATCAATAGTCAACCCCTCAAAACTTGCACTAAACAGCCCACCGGTCAATCATTGGCTATTGCAGCTCCAATCCACCTCAGCTCCGATCCACCTCATCCTATCAACCAGCGAATCACCCAAATCAGCGCAACAACCAAAAATGCCCCGCAACCCCTCCTGGTCTGGCTTTAGCTGAAGCTATTCCCTTCCATTTCGTTCTTTGAGTTTTGCTATTAAACCCGGAGGTTGGCATTTCCACTTCCCTTTTCTCCTCAAAATTCGTCTTCCCAATCATTCTCCATCTTCCTACTCCAACCATGTCTTACGACAACCAGCAATACGGGGGCGGCGCTAACAGCAGCTACTACAACAACGACGACAACAACAACGGCAACAACTCCTACGGCAACAACAACGACGACAACAACTCCTACGGCAACAACAACGACGATGGTTACAACAACCAGAACCAGAACCAGAACCAGAACCAGAACCAGAACCAGGGCCAGGGCAACTACGGCGGAAACAACGGAGGCAACAACTCCAACCAGAACCAGAACCAAGGCCAGGACAACTACGGCGGAAACAACGGAGGCAACAACAACTCCAACCAAAACTCTTCCAACAACGACTTCAGCAGCGCTGCCACCCACGCACAGGAAAACCACGGTAGCGATGACAAGTCTCTGTTCAACACTGCGGTGAACTTCCTCCAGAACAGCCAGGGCTCCAGCAACGATGTCGACGAGCAGCAGGCAGCGAATGCCCACCAGGCCATGTACGGTTCCGGCGACCCGTCGAACCAGCAACATGATTCTACCTCTATTGGTGCGGGCGCGGCGATGCAGGCTTTGAAGATGTTTACTGGTAGCAACGGTGGAGGCAGTGATGGTGGTATGGACAAGAACAAGCTCATTGGGCTTGCAATGTCGCAGGCTGGAAAGTTCTTCGATTCGCAGACTGGATCCGGGGGTAATGTGGTACGTTGTTCTTCTTCGATTTTGGGTTGGGGATGATGATGCTCACGACTGTTGTGTTAGTCCGGTGACAAGCAGTCTGCCATTAACTCTGCTGCCCAGATGGCCCTTAACATGTACACGAAGAGCCAGGGCGGTGGCTCTGGTGGGGGTGCTGCTGGATTGATGGATCTTGCAAACAAGTTCTTCTAAATACGTCGATTTGTATATGGACCGGATACTGTCTGGCACCTGAGATCTTTCTCTGTCTATCTTAGTGTTCTTTTTGCTTTTTGAGGAACAAGAAATGTAAAGATATCAGGGAAGAGAAGTGAATAGGACACCCCATCTAAAGTAAATGAGAGTCTTTACAGTGTTCAAGTTTACTTGAAACGTACTACCTGTTGGCCAGGGGCCTTCTTGTTTCCAGTTTTGTCCCTGCCATCCATGGATTTGAGAATTGGCTTGAAAATGGCCAACCGCGGATCCACATGTAATCTTCACTCGCCTTCAAACCTGGTAGGGACCGTTTGTGCTATTTGGCGAACCCTAACTGGTCCAGGTTTCGTTGCTCGACTCTGGGAAACCACATATTACCAAACGCGGTGGTGAACGCTTTTACCCAATTGAACTGCGTGCTTATTCATGACTTTGCAGATACTTCCAAGGGGTTCAAAGACACCAAATTGACCGAGTTATGCATTCGGCTTATCCCCAATTTTCATGGCATACGCCACATGGCCACTCCCGTCTCAACCGTCGATGTAGATTCTGCACCAATATGAGCGTCGATCAATTCCAATTCTATGTCGATGTGCATTAACCCCTCCTAGAGTGCGACAGTGGAACTAATCGTTTCCCGACCATCTCACGTTGTAGCTAGGGGTCAATTTAGTGCGATCATTACTATGCAGGAAATAACCTGCACAATTCAAATTCAAGTTGTTATATTATATTCCAGACCTTTCCTGCTGTGTGACTGAAACCCCCAATTTTCTTTCGACTCGGAGGAGGAAGCTCTGTCCAAGATGCTCCTTCAATCCGCTTCAAGCTTGCTTCATGAACACTGCATTTCGGTCATCGCCACTTCGGTACGCTTGCTTCTTTTCTTCTAGTAAGCCCGTCTCGCTAATTTGCTTCGGTCAGATTCTCCTGGTGGTAGTCGCGCAGGTATACTACCAAGTCTTCATCAACCCTCTTGGTAAATATCCCGGACCAACGCTTGCAGCTACATCACGGATACCGCATGTTTACCATACCCTCAAAGGCGACCTACTTGAATGGATCGGTAGACTCCATGCCAAATATGGCGATGTAGTCCGTGTCGCCCCAGATGAACTGAGCTATGCGGCTGGCGAAGCGTGGAAGGAGATCTATGGTCATGCCACCGCAGGAAAGCCCACTACAGAGAAGGACCCTCGATTCTACGGCCCATCATTTAATGGAGCCCCAGATATTCTTCGGGGAAAAGGACCCGACCACGCCCGCTTTCGCCGCAACTTCTCGCACGCTTTTTCTGATCGGGCGCTCCGAGAACAGCAATCTTTGATCTGTGGGTATGTGGATACGTTGATTGATCACCTCCACCAAACGATCAAGGAGGATCCCAATGCAAAAATCAACATGGTCCGCATGCTCAATCTGACCACATTTGATATCATGGGGGATTTGACCTTCGGGGATCCCTTGGATCTGTTAGCTGGATCTGGAAACCTCAATTGGGTGTCGGCAGTGTTCCTCACTATTAAAACCAATGCCGTGCGCCGACTTGCGCGCTACGTCCCTTGGACCGCTCTGATTGCGCAAATGCTCATTCCAAAGGAACTGAAGCGGCAAAGCCAAGCTCATTTCAAGGCCTCCCAGGAGCGGGTGGACAAGAGGATTGACGGCAACCATGTCCTGCAAAAACCCGACATCTGGGGTATTGTCATGAGCCAAAAGGAGGAACTCCTTCTAAGCCGCCAAGAGATGTACGCCAACTCCCAGGTCTTCATGGTTGCAGGCACCGAGACTACTGCAACTGCACTCAGTGGGTTGCTCTACCACCTCCTGATGACGCCGCAGAAGATGAAGACCATTGCAGAGGAAGTCCGTGGGACTTTTGAGAAAGACTCTGATATCGAAATGAGATCTCTCGAGCATATGCCCTATCTCAATGCGTGCATTGAGGAAGGGCTACGCGTCTACCCCCCAGTTCCGGTGGGTCTGCCTCGCATCGCTCCCGATGAGGGATTGATTGTTTGTGGAGAGCATGTCCCAGGAAAGGTATTGTCTTTCGGTTGTGCGTCCTGTTTTGATAAGTCAGTGCTAATTGTTGGATATGATAGACTGTGCTCTCGGTTAATCACTGGGCTACCTATCACAACGCTAAAAACTTTAGACAGCCAAATCAGTTCATCCCAGAGCGTTGGATTAGCGATGAGTTTGCCACTGATAATAAGGCTGCCTTCCAACCGTTCTCATTCGGCCCTCGCAACTGTATTGGAAAGAAGTATGCGCCTGTCCCGCTCTCCGCATGGGGGGTTCTTAGTAACTGACGATCGAACAGTCTGGCATACCACGAAATGCGTCTCATTCTGGCCAAAGTGTTGTATAACTTTGACTTTTCTCTTCTCCCAGAGTCCGTTGGTTGGGAAAAACAGAAAACCTTCTTTCTGTGGGAGAAGAACGATTTGATGGTTCAGCTGAAGGCGAGAGAATAAAAAAAAAGAAACATAGTCGTAGATTATCAGACTCTGCATTTCGATGCGCTCGTTAGAAGCAGACATCAACTAGGACTTAATCCTTTCTTCCATAGCACAACATTACCATACTCCTCTGAAACCTCTTCTCTTCTGCTGGACTGTCTTTGCATCTCTGAATAGGATTCGTCAGCCTAGCCTAGCCCTATCTCACGCGCCAACAAAAGCCTTGGTGGAAGAGTATGTTCATCGTCGCTTAGTTGCTCCCCACCCCAACGGTACATTGCCAAATGAACCTTGGATTAATCCTCCTGCAGAAGGATAACAACTTGGTTTGTTATATCCAGTCAGATTTCAACTGCGACTGGCAATGGGACATCTCAGTCCTACTAGGCTGCTTTGTTGTCAAAACAATGACTGTACAGGAAGTGATAATCCAAATCCAAGTGGAATTCATCGAGTTCTTAGATCGGGTGAGAGTTGTCCTACACAGCCCGCAGTGACTTTTTGACTGGCTTTTCCTGCTGTGTTCGACCTATCCCAACTGCACCGTAGGGGCATTGAAGCAGTGACAAGCCTCCACGAGACTACGAGGCTCCAAGTTGATGTTGGACGTTCCACTCTGTACATGCCTCTATATCAACAAGATTATGGCTGCCGGTCTGGAGATAGGGACCGAATTCACCACGGCAATAAAGGTCAGCTAACCACGCTCATCCAGGCACACTCCTCGCTCACGATGATGTGTATATACACACCCGGTGTATATAGAGAAGGTCTTGTTCAATACGGAATACTCTAAAAATGACGTGTTAGTCCCATCCATTACCCTGTGGCAGCAGCAACCCGCCGGCTTTCAACGCTGTCAACCCTGTTTTCTTGATTACCAAAACCCAAAACGAGCCTTTTCTGTCCGTAACATATAAAGTCATGAGCGAAACCTCCGGGGCAATCGAAATGCCTGCTTTGTTGCTAGAATAGGCCCCCCCCCACTGCCAAAGAGCCCCATTGCAGCACCGTGAGGGTTGAACCACCCGTGACTGTGTTTGCAGGGGCTTTTATACGGCAATGATGAAACCAACGAGATGCTTCAGGCCTATCAAGGATTCAGTTCTATCCCTTGGTTAACAATGGATATGAGGGTGCCTAAGCCGTCGCTCGAGCCGGTTGATACGGAACATGTCGTGGAGAGAGGGCTTGGAGGAAGAAGATCGAAGCGGAGGGGATGTTGGAACAAGATTGCCTATGGTCATATTGAAAGAGTGTGCTTACAGCACATGGATGGCGAGCCTTGGAGATATCCGTTAATTGATCACACGGAATAGGTGTGATGGGCGAAAAGCCGTGGCGGTATCCTCTAGAAGGCATGAGAAGGAGTGCAGAATTGGTAGGATAGTTGATATCATTCACCCAGACCACTCGCCGCAGTGGTGTGCAGGCTACCGCAACTGTTGTATGCATCTTCTAGAACGGAAGTTGTTGTAGCATCAGAGATGAAAAACATCATTAAAAGGACGTCTTCCGGGATAATTTTGATTCACGCGAAACGGTATATATATATTGAACTCGGCTCTACTGTAGCATGTAATGACATTGGGAGAGGAAAAAAAAAAAAGACTCGCTGACCTTTGCATGCATATGCCACGGCCCCTCACACTCGAAAACAAACGCAAAAGGTCAACGCTAAGCGCAGAAATGTCCAACACCGCGACCGACCATAAACAATGCACTTCTCAACTCTACCACTCATCGTCGTCGTCGTTTTTGCCCTGCATCGCGCTTTGTCGTGCCCGGAGTGCCTCGGCCAAACCACCTGCTAGGCTGGCGTTTGATGCGCTGTTGGGCGTACCGCGGCCGCTGGCGCCCGACGAGTCGGCCGATTGCAAGCTCGCGACGCTATCTCGCGGAGCGGGCGGGGGCGCGGGCTTGCGTCCGGCCATGTTGGGACGCTTGGCTGGGGGAGCGGGCGGGGCGGGCTTGGTCTTGGCGGCTGCAGCGGCTCCAGCACCGTTTGGAATAGGGCTAGGGGTTGCGCGCGGTGCCATAGGAGGGGGAGGTGGGGTGGGCTTTGGTGCGGAAGCGACGGCTACTTCTTCAAGGTAGGATTCGGGGGTCCATCCTTGAGCTGATGTTGTTGTGTTCTTGCACAGCCACCATCCTAGGGCAAGTTAGTTCTGATCAAAACAAATGATTCGCTGGGTGCGTACCATTTCCTTCCTTGGATACAATTTCTAGGATTTCGCCCTTGGTGATGGAAAGCTCATTGGCCCGGTCGCTGTTGTAGTCATACTTGACCTTTGCGGCAGGCTTTCTTGAGGCTGGAGGAGGTGCCCCAGGTGGAGGTGGTGGAGGAGCCCTTGCGGAGCCAGAGGACCGCACGGAGGTATAAGACTCCTTGCGAGAGTGTGCAACGGCGACAGCAGCCACAGGCTGCGGCACGATGCGCGACTGGGCAGCAGGCTGCGGGGTAGACCGGGGCAGAGGCTGGGCAGCAGGGACAGGTCTGCTAGCGGCCTGAGACAATTTCGAAGGGCCGCCACCGGGACCACCAGGACGAAGTAGCTTGCCCTTCGTGACCGGGCGAGCCGCAACCGCCTTTGCCCGTGGAGTGGGCTTTGAGACAGAGTTGGGAGGCTCTCCAGCACTAGTGTGGATTGTGCTGCTTTTGTAGCTGTCGACGTTTCCAGCAGCTGGATCTTTGACTGCCTTGACGGTTGCCAGCTTGCCAGGCTTCTTGTGGTATTCAATGGTCTCTCCAACTTTCAAAGTGAAAGAGCCACGTAAGACAGTGTTGAGATGAGTAAAGAACTCGGTTTTGAAGATACAGTTAATGAGCGGGTCAGGTTCTTGAGCCCCAATGACCAGCGAGAACCAGTCGTCCTTGAGATTCGAGGTGCTGACACTCTTGATGGCTCCAACAGCAATGGTTCGTTCCGCTAAAATAACCAGCTGGTTGTTTTCGATACTCTGTGCAACAATATAGACATGCCGACTCGTCAGAACAAGGATCCGGGGGACAGGTTTGCTAGAACGACCGAATTTAGATGCCAAAAGCTCGGCACGGCAAGAGAAAATGACTTCGTCTGAACCGCCGATGCCTGCACCGTTGCGGATCATTTCACCAGGACCACCGGTGTTCCCGACACCGAGATAATCGCCTAGGAAGCGACGAGAACCGAGAAGACTCATTCTCCGGCGTTCCTTGCGGCCCTGGAGCACCTGGTGTCCCTGATCACGAACCTTGATGAGTTCGAGTCCACCAGTCGTGCGGCGCCAGAAGCGCTGAATACGGATCGCACTCTCAATGCGGTACCGGAGATAGTTTCTCCAAGCACGTTGAATGCGGATGGCCATATTATGCCAGTATTTGTCTCGCATGGCTTCGAGTGCGAACAGCGTCTCAGGAGTCTTGACGAAAACCTTTGTAATACCCATCTGATACTCCTCGGGAGGAATCCGGGTATCCTTCAAGATCTGCTTTGCGCCGGACTCCACATCGCCGGTCCATGTGTAGTCACCGGCGTACGAAGTCTTTGGGGACAAGAGGTAGAATCGCTCGGTGAACTTGTCGAAGGTTTGACGGTAGGCAAAGCCAGCACGTCGAATGCGGACGTTCTCTTGGAGACCAAGGTACTTGACCTGATGCAGGACATTGCCGTGGTTGTACTCCCCGGGGGCCTTGTTTTCGTTAGGTTTGATTGTGCGAATATAAGACGGCTGCGCCTTCATGAGCGTCGCCACAAGGTCATTCGCGGATGCCTTAATTTTGTCACCGGCGGTAGGTGGGCGACGCTTGTCATCCTGGTTGACCTGGTTGGGGAACAGCGAGTGGACGAATTCGTTGCTGCTAGATTGGGCAAGGTTCAACAAGTCCTTCAAGAGCTGATCTTTATTCTTATCCGTCATTCCCTCTACAGCGTAGCTGACATCACCAGCGTAGTGCTTGATGATGAACTGACCCTGGCGACCTTCAAAGTTGGGATTCTGGGATAGGAAGTTGAGCCTACCAACGAAAGTCTGGTCGGCCGCACCGGAGTCAGCGTGGGCAGTTGCGCAGGCATCGTTCAAAGCGGCGAAAATTCCAGGAGGGCGCTTGTCCTCGATCAAAGAGCACACCACCTTGTTGTCAAAGTACTCAATAGGAGTCCACTTGATCTGCTCGCGGGCGTATTCATCTTGTTCTGCCTTGAGAGTCAATTGAATGAAAATCTGCTGCAGCTTTTCATTGACATAGTTGATACACAGCTGCTCGAAAGAGTTCTTCTCGAAGATTTCGAATCCGTAAATATCCAGGATGCCAATTGAATTGGTGATGGAAACTCGAGCAGTCAGTGACTGGTTGACGCGCTCTACGATCCAATCGAATAGATTGAAGTAAATCGCCTTGGCCAAAGCGTCTCGAACAGCTGAAGCTTGAACTCTGTTCAGCGGCACTTCATATACGGAACCCCTGCGCCCCCCTCGCGCAGTCTCCATCAGACGAATAGTCAAAGCCTTGTTCACTTGAGCAGAATCAACCTCCAACAGGTAGGCGACGAAATCAACAACTGACTGATCGCTAATGGTAGCATTGCCAGAGTCATCCTCGCTGAACTGAACATTTCCAATCCAGAGAATAGCTGCTAACATGCGGAAAACATTGTCCTGCTCGGCATCGCTCATTCCAATCACCCTCATCGCATCCAGTGTATCCTTGAACTCGGCAATATCGTCGATTCCCGGTACATCAAAACACTTGGAACGGCTCGTATAAAGGTAAGATTGGGGTTGCTGGAGGCCGAAACTGTCGCGGTACTTCTGCGGGGCACCCTTTGTGAGTTGGTAGAAGATGTGGAAATTTCGCTCATTCGCAATTTGTCCCACTACTCGTGACTTTTCCAGCAGATAGTTCGTAATGTTGGCTCCCACCGGCTCACCGTTGGCATTGAACTCCAATTCTAGGTACTTTCCGAATCGGGACGAGTTGTTGTTGCGCAGCGTCTTTGCATTACCGAATGACTCCAGCAACGGGTTCGTCGCCAATACCATATCCTTGGTCTCCTGAATAGACGAATCACCGCCCCCGGAGACACTGGCAATGTATTGCATGATCCGCTTCGCGGCCTCGGTCTTTCCGGCACCAGACTCTCCAGAAATGATGACACACTGGTTGTCCTTGTAAGATTTCATGTTGTAGTATGCGGACTCGGCGACTCCGAATACATGGGGAGGAACTTCAAGGCGGTTCTTGCCGCGATACGAATCGAGGACATTATCTGTGTAGATACCCACTGATGATCGGAAGTCTGTTAGCAAAGGAAACCTCACTCTCTTCACGGAGCAACTCACAATCTCGGAAAGGATTCACTGAAACCAAAACATGGCCAATATAAGTCTAATAGTCTCCCGTCAGTCTGTACTCGTGTTCGCGTACAACCCCGCAGTCCGCGTGCTCGATCGGTCCCTTACATAAATCTCGTCGTGCTCGAACCGGAGCTTCAGGTTGTCGTTGATGGCCTCATTGGAGATCTTGCTGAGCAGCGTAAGATCTGACACGCCAATCTCCTTCTTCTTGCTGCTCTCAAAGGCGGCCTTCCTGACTTGCGGCTTCCCCCCCGCTTGCCGGCCATCGCCGACATCTGCGACTGCTTTGGAGCGCCCAAAGCGGCTCTTCTTCTCTCCGCCAACAGGGCGTCGTGACTGACCCTACACCGCAATCAGAGGGTCAGTTTGGTTCTTCTCTGGTCATTGCGCAGGTAGGCCACCTACCATCTTGTGTCAACCTCTCGGGGGATCTCGCGCCCAGGCGACAAATATGAAATCTGACGTATCAACCGAATGGGGGAATTCTAGTGGCAATTCGAGTGACAAGTGAAGAGTCGGAATTGAGAGTGAATAAGAAGTAGTCTAGGGCTCACTCCAGGTAATTGTAAGAGAGACCTCGGGAAGTGACTGGACGGACTTACGTACGGCGAGTCAAACCAAAGCAAACAGCTGCGCCACAAAATGGTCCCTTTTCTGGTTCCGTTGCTGCCTCAGGGGCAAATTGGACATCAATTTACTCGATTACAAAGATTAATCTATTTTGATCTGGGTTGTTTTCTGATTGCTCAATTTGATTTTTGTTCCATGGCAATCTCTTTTCTACGAACCTCCTGGGTCAGGCATGCGCGTCAGGGCTTGTGGCTCGTGCGATTAAGAATAGATGCACCGACGTCATTGGGCATATATGTCCCAGGGACGAATTTACTCCTGCCTAACCGCAATTTTGGTTACCTAGGCCACCAGAGATTACGTGAAGCCATGAAATCATTCATGGGTTGTATTCTTAATTTGACATGGAATTTCGTTATCCAACGTTCAATCAACTTCAATCTGGGCAACTAGACTGCTATTAAACTCGAATCACGAGGTTGACTTTGACCTGGTGGCTGTTATCAGTTGCTAGAGGGGCACGAGTCAGTCCGTGGAGGGAGATCTCCCGATATCTCGTGTGGATGTTGAAGTACTCTTTTCTTCCGAGGTCTGATGGATGATGTTGATGGCGACGCCCTCGGATTGAGACATGAAGTGCCTTTCATTGGAAAGTGCATGAACAGAAGGGGGCTTCCCAAGCACCAGTGTGGCATAGGAATTTCCACCGCAAATTTTGGACATCCAGATGATCGTTGACACCACATCCTAATTATATGGACAATAACCAGATTATAAAATCTGGAAGGCAATCACATCACGTGATAGGGATGCAGGGGAAGTAAATTTGTAGACAGCAATGGGACATATTGATGTGCTATTTGAAGCAAAACGTTACAATTAGGATTTAAATCAAGACTCATGAAGGAAGAAGCTGACTAGGTTTGTGGGATCTCCAAAATTGAAAGCTTGAATTTTGGGGTTCCAGTGCAGCAGAGCAGACATTCATATGGAGACAGCATCAACAAAGCCCAATACAGGATATGGAAACGTGGCTTGAGTAGTAATCATAAATGCTCCCATCAATAAGAGGATCCACTGCTCATTCATAACATTGCGGTGACTTTCACCAGGTGCAAATGCCTGGAATCAAAGTCATTCCCTCTCCAAAAGCGACTCATCTTCTGAGATGCATGCATTTGAAGCTTCACTTTTTGGTCTGGGCTGAAAGCAAAAACTTCGAAGGCGGAAACGATGTAGGCGTAGGCGCAGGAACAGGCGACTTAGGCCACAATACCTTGTCTCCAGGAGCGTCTACTTGAATCTAATCGCGATATATGAGCTGATGAGCAATACAAGGCAAGCCATGTTCTTCGGCTATAACTCACCGGGTTTGCGCGCGAGATACTCTTCATATAAGCACTTATGCAATCCAGGAGGTAGGATGCGTCAGACACAACAAGAACAGGGGGCGGTTCTGAGAAGCCCAATGAAAGGCAGTGGTGTAGTGCACCGAGAGACTGCACGGCCTCGATCTGTTCGTTTCCTGACGATCCCGCATCCATTAAGTACACAATCACCCCCAATGAGTTCTTGTTGGCTTCAGCAAATCTCTGGATTGCAGTCGCAGTTTGATGCCTCGTGGTTACCCTCAGCCGACTAGGAGTCAACAGAAGCGCATTGAGCTTAATAGAGTGTATCTGATACAGGACATCGAACGTTGAAAAGGTTCGGTTCTGATAGATAAGCTCGAAGCTGAAGTCGGCATCTCGGGCAGCCCACAAAGCTTAATGGATGGTTAACGTTTAAACCTTACCGGAGGGAGTCAAGGGAACCAACAGCTGAAATCTGTTTTAGGGGGGCCCGGCGAAGCTAGACGATACGGTCAGCTCCAAGGGTTTAGTGAATGAATCATGGATAGGAACATCGTACCTTCTTTCATGCTGCCTAGAGTAGTAAGGGTGGTAGCCAGCCTAGCCCATTCATCGCGTTTGCAAAGTTCTGGGTTGTATTCACCGTGAAGACCAAGCATCGGGGGAGGGGTAGACATTGCAACAGTGGATAGGAAAATAGATTGTGGGCTTCCACTTTCTGTAGTTTGAGGGGCGAGTGTAGATGTGGGGATATATGGCACTGAGGAGTTGAGTGGGCTCATGGCAGAGCGAGGAGAGGAAGGCCCGTTGTCAGGAGGAAGAGTATCACCACCCATAGGGAGGAGAGGAGCAATGAAAATAATGGATTGAAATGGGAGATATTAGGTGCAAAGACAGAAGAAAGAGAAAAAAATCAAAGAGAAGAGTTGTTGCCTCTATGGACGTGTTGTGTGTGTGTATGTATGTACATATCAGGGAAGGAGCAGAGGAAGATATCAACAAGTGACTCTGCTTTGCAAACCCCTACTCTCGAAAACGAAAGAACACCTTGTGATCTTTCCAGTGGTCTGTTCAATGGGGTATCTTGATCGAATGGAAAAGCAAATGCACGCCTAACCTTATATAATAGGAGGTCGCTAGGTACGATGCGAATGTCAATCGGAATCAACCATCACAAGCTTTTCGATGTAGATGATGACGTCTGACTAGCTGATGCAGCAGACGGGTCGGGAGTTGAGGTTGTCGGTGCAGCCTTATTTGTTGTGGGCTGGATTTTAGGTGCAGACTCGGTCGTCTTCTCCGCAGTTTGACCAAAAGAGATATACGAGGAAATGCGTGAGAGCCACCCTTGTGGAACTTCTGGCATATCCGGCTCTGGCGCTTGTTCATAGATCTCCGGAGACAGAATCCTCTTCGTAGACAACTTGGGCAAATCGCCGTGCTTTGCTCTTAGCTGGAGCAGCTCCTTTTCTAGTGCCACCAGAGCTTCACGTGCCGCCTTTTCTGATTGTTCCAGATCTGCTAATCTTCCCTCCACGCCTTCACGCCGTGTGCTTTCCTTGTTCCGTGACCGCCACGACTCAAAGAGGATCAGACCTCCTGCGACAAGGAAGAGAAAGGATTCGGAGATGAAGTTGGCACCGGACTCGATAGCTTTAGACTCAGATAGGGGGCGGATACGATAATGATGGGGCTTGGCCGCCTCTTCTGCTGCAGCCTTGGCTTTGGCCTCTGCGTCCTCTGCGGCCTTCGTGTCGGCTGCGTTTCGCACTGTGGGGATTGTGGGCTTGTGTTTTCGAGCTTCGGCGGCGGCGGCATCTTGACGTTGGGAGGTGGCAGTATCGCGGATGGAGCCTAGTCGGATACGCATATCGAATCGGTGAAGCGCTTGGGCGATAGAGACGCAGACCTTGCGAAAGCGTTCATGTTCACGGGCTTGGGCTTTGATTTGAGACTGTGTCGGTTAGCCTCTGGATTTCGCACTCAAAAATATAAGCTTACGGCGATAGGCTTGGATAAAGTCCGAATTGCCAAGGAAGAGAGTTTCAAGGTTAATGACATGGCTAGAGAATGGTGAGAGTGAACACCTGAAGCTTGAATCACTTTCTTATCTCCGCAGTACGGGTCGACCTCGAGCGCGTGTTGATTACTCAGCACCGTCCATCGCGCGCCCAGGAAGAGTTACCACACACAATGTACCAACGTTGGAACGACCATAGGAGGCTTATCTATAATACTTGCTTGGCCGTAACAACCAGACTGAACATTCGTAGAGTCTGATATCCTTACGCAGTGTTGAACTATTTGATTTTTTTTTTACACATGGCCTCTCATCTTTCAAATTGACGAGACACACAACCTTGTTGAATGGCATGAAAACCTCAGAGTACATAGCTTCTTGATCTACTCCGCACCTGGTATTAGCTCTTTTCCATGCAAATTACATCGGAGAGAGGCATCGTAATAGCACTTGGGCCTGTGATCCTCATGTATGGAGTAGCTACAGTGGCAACATGTACTCCGTATGTTGTACATTATATGTTGATATATGCGGAGTATGGAGCACGCACAAATAGACCGCCGAAAAAAATCGCCCAACCTCATCCACATAGGGTTAGCCTTGCTCCAGTTCAACCAATTAAAGCCAATTGTGGGGGTTTGAATAGCTCGGAGACTTCCCGAGTGTGTGTGCATAAATATTGCGCCATTTTCTCCCACAAAGTCCACTCCGATACATAACTGCTTTTTCAGTTGAAATGGCGACATTCTGCAATCCACAAGGAGCCAATCATCTCATAGACAAGATTTCCACTTAACGCGTTACCTCCGAGGCCGCCAACGTCGGCTGAAGCAATGTCTCCTAAACATAATTTCCGTTACGCTAAAAGCTCGGGTTTAACCCACCAAGGCAGATAAGCCAAAAATTAGCCTTCCCTCATCGACCAGTCAAATGATGTGATTAGCTTGCTTGCCCCTCTAGTGTGGAAATCTTTTCTGGTTGGAAGACTTTGTTTCCTGCAACGACGCCATGGCAGGGGTATTCGACGATCAAAGTTCTACCAAGACAGGGAGTCGATACGTCGTTCAAAATGTTCAGGATGTCGAATACCAACACTTCACTCCACAGTCGGGTTCATCGAGCGCTGCCATCTCCGAGGACGGACAGATCGTTACCCAGTATGAACGGCAAAGCTTGATCCGGGGTCTGGGGCAACGCCATATCCAGATGATTGCCATTGCTGGCGCAATTGTATGCAGACTATTATAATGACAGCAACTGTATGACTGACCTAACATAGGGTACGGGTCTCTTTCTCGGGTTAGGTGGCTCGATCGCTACCGGTGGTCCTCTGGGTGCCTTGCTAGGCTACCTGTTCGTCGGCTTGATAGTCTGCTGCATTCAATTTGCTCTCGGAGAGGTCTCTGCACTGCTACCAGTCACTGGTTCTTTTGTGCGACATGCAGAGATTCTAGTGGACCCCGCGCTGGCATTCGCGGTCGGCTGGAATGTTGTTTACGGATGCTTTATCAGTGTTCCAAGTGAGATCTCCGCCAGCGTCGTCCTTATCCAATACTGGACGGATATCAATGCCGCCGTCTGGGTGACTATCCTCATAGTTGTGTCAGTGGCCGTTGCCGTCTCGTTGATCAGTGTCTATGGCGAGATCGAGTTCCTCTTCGCCATTCTTAAGATCCTGCTGGTGATTTTTGTGGTCATTCTCGGGCTTGTCATTGATCTAGGGGGTGTGCCCGGTGTACCCCGACGAGGCTTCCACTACTGGAAAGACCCGGGCCCATTCGTTGAGTACATTGCTACTGGGTCTTTGGGACGCTTCCTTGGATTCTGGGCCGTTATGACCAATGCAGTCTATTCGTTCGCGGGTGTAGAATCCTTAGCCACGGCCGCTGGTGAAACAAAAAACCCACGACAGAACATTCCCAAAGCCTGTAAAAGGGTATTTGCGCGAGTGTCTATTTTCTATGTCGCCACTGTGCTGGTCGTGGGTATGTTGGTCTCTAGCGCTGACGAACGTCTCGGCTCAGACTCTGGCACCGCGGCTACGAGTCCGTTCGTCATTGCCGCCAGCGATGCAGGCATCAAGGCTATTCCTTCCGTTGTGAACGCCGTATGCTTGACCTCCGCGTGGTCTGCATCGAACCAGAGTATCCTGACAGGAACAAGAACGCTGTATGGTCTTGCGGTCAAGGGACATGCTCCGAAAATATTCCTGCGTACTACTAGGTGGGGAGTGCCGTACATGTGTGTGTTGCTACAGGTTGCCTTCTCCTTCCTGGCTTACATGTGTGTTTCCAACGACGCCATGAATGTCTTCTGGTGGTTCGTTGATTTGACTTCGGCTGGTACCTTGGTCTCGTGGATCGCTATCGCTTTAAACCACATTCGTTTGTTGCAAGCGCTGGATAAACAGGGCATCTCACCAACAGAGTTGCCGTGGCATAATCGAATTACCAGTATGTATCGCATTCTGGTTTTGACAATCATTTCTCTGAGTGATTCCAATACTGACATGAATATAGGATACACAAGCTGGTTTGCGTTAGTCTCTTGTGTTGTGATTCTCTTTACGGGCGGATTCGTAGTTTTCACGGCAGGAAATTGGGACACTGCGTCGTTTATCTCATCGTATCTGTGAGTCTTTTCTTTGTGGCATTTAATTCAATCTACTGACCTTGACCCTAGGGACATTCCACTCGTCCTCTTCGCGTACGTGGGCTATAAGTTGATCCGCAGGACAAAGATCATTCCTTTGAAGCAAGTCCCAGTTCAACAAGCGATAGATGAAGCCAACAATGACCCGGAGAATGTGCCAATCAAGAAAGACGGCATGCTGGCGAAGATGAATATTCTTTGGGGCTAACATATCTCCCAGCCATAGCTTGGAGACTAACTGTTGTGTTCAAGGGGTTCTGTGGCTGCAGGCGATATAATGAAATGTGATGGGTCTTGAATTGATCAAATGTATATAGTTAAAATTAGAATAATATCCATGGCCTTATATCGTGCTTCCGTAGTTCAATGGAGTGTCGGATCGTTTGAACTGTTGCTCCACATCTCAACCCTTGATTACTCGGCAGGGTTGGATGTGCACTTGTCTCGTCTACCCAGAAATCAGGTTGGGTTTCTCTTTTGCTCTTCACCCTTGTCTTCAAGCTTGATCATTTACATCTACCACCGTCGTTACAGCGGAGAGCCTATGTATTGGGAGATAGGGATCCGAGGGAAGCATGCCATCTGAATTCCAAAACATGCCACAGTCAAGGCACAAATAGACTGAATAGCCAGATGACCTGCCCTCTCGAGCATGCACTACACTTGTTATTTTTGGGTCTCTTTAAGCGCCCCTCCTTCTCCCCCGGCGCGCGGCTCTTTTCTTTTACTACATCTCTTATCTTCTCTCCTCCCATGCGAGACTACCAGGTGCACCTGTGACTACATCGTTTAACCGAACGTGACATAATAAATATCCCTACTTCTCGGACTGAGGCTTCCAAAGTAGGTGTGGATCGATGGCCGCTGGTCATGCCCGAAGCACAGATTCCTTGAGACCCATGTATCAATTGACATACCCCTTTTTAACTTTGGAATCTTTCATCAATTTCCAATTGTATAATGTGAAGAGTGGACTAATACTTGGCGTACCATCCCATGCTTTCTTCACTACGTCGATCCTTTAAGGCACAGAGAGAATCATGTCCTTCATACAACCATAGCCCGATGAAAGGGTTTCCTGTCAAACAAGGACAATATCTTCTACACTGTGCTAGATGTAGTAGGGTTCAAGTTGGACGAACATAGTGGAAAGATGCGGCGATAAGACTGTTCATGCTCGAAGCACAAGGCACACGACATGAAGCAGCTACCTTGGGGGCTATCGAAGGATCCACTCTCTAAAGCATACCCACCTAGGCACGGAACTCATTGAATAAGATTTCCTACATAGATCTCGCCAGTGCAGGCCATTGTAAGAGCACTAAGGGTATGGAGTAGTCGCTGAACATTCACAGTTTCATATCACTTCTTAAAATACTGTGTTTGTCCAAATTTGAACTATCAAAAGAAATCTTCTCAAGGGTTTGGCGTCCAGTCAACAAACTGGAATCTCTCGCGGCAATGACATGGAACCAAATATAGAGCCCCAGCAACGCACCAAGATAAGATCGAACCTTCAACGCAAAAGAGAGCATCCCGATGAATGTAGACTATGTTCCTTGTATAGTAACTAATTCAGAAAAAAGTAAGGATCCAAGACAAGGAGATGCGTGGAGTTGGCCAAAGACCCTCACGTGACTTGCGGGCCAACGGCCAGTGTTTATCGATTACCGTTTTGAGCAAAATGTTATGGTCCAATTCTTCCTACTCTTCATCCTCCCCCAACCTTCGATTGAGGGGCCGTTATTTGTTTTCCGAGCTTTGTAAAATTTTGCTTCTTTAGCGTTTTGCATATGGGTGTAAGTTCCATCTCTCACTTCCTATGTTCTGTTCTCAATTAGAGTGGTTTTCGGCTTCTCGACAGTGGTGCGGATTCTGACTTGATTTTTGCAGGGATAGAAAAATTGTCGGAACTTGATACCCTTCAGACTGTCACATGGTCACTGTTTTTAATGATCCTCACGCTCGATACCCCCCTCCTCTACAAGCCTTCTACTACAGATAATATCCTGATTCGCCTGCCATAAAAAGACGGCCCGCCAACAATGGAGGCCCTCTCCCCGCGCACAACGAACCAGAAGATCAAACCAAAACTGGCCATGGATCATAAACCGTTCGAGAAAAATGCTGTACTTCCAAGTAGCAAGCAAAGGCTTGCATCTTCCAAAAGCTACGCCGATCCTCCACCATCAATAGTCTCGGAGCCGGAAGATGGCGGGGAGCGATACTCAGTAGGTGCATTCTTGGGAAAGGGCGGGTTTGCTGTTTGCTATGAGGGTACATTGGCTCGCAATGGCCGGGTGTACGCCATGAAGGTCGTCAAATCAGCGATGTCCCAAAAGAAGATGGAGGAGAAGGTACGCTGAGCCTCCGCATACAGACCGACGATTTGCCAGTACCTAATATTTTTGGTCGCAGTTTCGAACCGAACTCCAGATCCACTCTAAAATGCGCCATCCTTTTATCGTCCAGTTCTACCGCGCATTCGCATTCGAATCCAGCACCTACGTGGTTCTCGAGTTATGTCCAAATGGGTCGGTGATGGACATGTTTCGGAAACGACGCTGTTTTAGCTTGCCGGAAGTGCGACGGTATATGATTCAGCTTTGCGCAGCGGTGAAATATCTACACAAGCGATTCGTCGCTCATCGCGACCTGAAGATGGGAAATCTGTTCCTCGATCACCATATGAACATCAAGGTTGGAGATTTCGGTCTGGCGGCTATGATTTTGTCCGACAAGGATGCTAAGCGACGGAATACGCTATGCGGCACACCCAACTATATCGCTCCCGAAGTTTTGGACAAGAGCAAAGGTGGCCATACACAGAAAGTTGATATTTGGTCCGTGGGTGTAATATGGTGAGAATGCCGCGTTACTATTCCAAAGTTGTTGAACTAACAACATCGTTTTAGCTTTGCCATGCTCGCTGGACAATTGCCATTTCAGTCGAAAACGCAAGATGAGGTTTACAAGAAAGTCCAGAACTTGAATTATGTCTGGCCCAAAGAATCAGAGTCCAGCAATTACATCCCTGAGGAAGCAAAAGATCTAGTCAGTCGTTGTTTGAACCTTGTGGACGAGGAGCGACCGGACCCAGACGACATTGTTGAGCACCCATTCTTCAACATGTACGATGGTTGCATTCCTCGTCAATTGGACCCCTCATGTCGATTCAACAAGCCACTATGGCTTAAGGACGCCTCACCTCAGGGTGATTCTATGGTAAGTGGATACGGCTTAGACTCGGATGAGAGGCTCCGCGCCTATGTGTACCAGGTGGATGACCCCGCTCAGCGATATCATTCCTGCAAAGCTGCCTTCTACTCGCTCTGCGGGGTGGGACGTAAACCTGATGGGACATCTCGGAAATCTGTTGGGAGAAATTGCTCGAAGTCGGCTTTCTCTGAGTGTGATGTGGAGGATTCCAGAGGTCTGCGACCCATAATACCCTTGTCGCCAGATCATGTTTACCGATGGCCCCAGGACCTTGAAGGAGACTGGTGTCTTCTGGAGAGTTCCCGAAAAATCATCCGCAGCGAGGAGTCAATGCTTAGCAGCACTATGTCACAACGAGGTATTTCCATTCGTCCAAACCCCATGGCAGCATCACGGACCAATGCAGCTCTAGCCGCTGCTCAACAGCGCCGAATGGAAGGACAGAGCCATGCCGCAACGCTACGTCAGCAAGCTCGAGTCCCCCCCATCTCGCCCCGCAAGGTACCTGGAATTAGTGATCCCGTCGTTCTATCGTCTAGACTATATCGAGAAATCACAAAAGCCGAGGCAAAACCTCTATCCGCTGCGGATGTACCAACAGGGGGTCTGGCAGAGCGTCCTATTAGGGCACGAAGGATGGTATCTGCATCCCAAGCAACGACGTTGCGTAACAAGGACAAGGATGTTGCCCCAAAACTAGCCAAATCCACAAGCATGCCATCAGGCTTGACTGTAGGCAAAACACGCTCTCAGTCTCGCAGATTGGCAGCCGCTGACCAGGAGTTGATACAGCCTTCTATCTCAACCAGAGAACGGCAACCATCCACTCGGACAGAGGAGCGAAACGTGATCACCCGTCAGACATCTTTACGGCCTACATCAAGAGCAGACCTCAGCACTAGTGTCGGACGAGGCGAAAGACAGAGAGGTAGTCCTATTGAAGAGTCCGTTCGATCTGCACAGGCTCAATCGAAGGTTTCCGCCGAATCTGATGGACCTGGTCGGTCTAATAGCAAGACGACTAGTAGCAGGGCACGCTCTAGTTTGGGGCTCAGTCCTCTCTTTCATGCAGAGGATGCCTGCAAGCTTCTGCCCAGGACTTCGTTGACCGAAGTCAACACTGACTTGCGTCTCATGCTGACCAACTTGATCAACCATGCACCTAATAGGCGCAGAGGGGGAGCACGAAAACAACCTCACGCCTATGTAATCAAATGGGTAGATTACACCAACCGTTATGGAATTGGCTACGTTTTGGATGATGGGAGTGTTGGATGTGTTTTCAAGGGAGAAAATGGACAGCCGGCGACGAGTGTCGTAGTTCGAGATGGCGAGCGACATATCCGCCGAAAAGCGCGTAGCGTCGCAGATGGCAAACAACAACCGATTTACTACTCCGAGGCTGATCAGTTAGTTCCTCGCACTGGAACCTCGGTTGAATTCTATGAGAATCGTGACGATGACTTGCTAGGATGTCGCGGTATCCGACGAGCATTGATCCCGCCCTCGCTCTTCGACGTTAAAAGCTCAAAGGCAATGAGAGTTCGCTCCAACACAGGAACCGATGTCGAGCGAGCCGATGCAGAGAAAATCAAGCGGATGAAGCTCGTGGATCAATTCGGTAAATACATGATCGGAGCCCTTGGTCGACATGGCGACGAAGGCATCCTGGATGAAGACCTGCCTGAGCACAATAGTGCACAGTTTGTCAAGTTCTACCAGCGCTTGGGCAATGTTGGCATCTGGGGGTTCGGAGACGGAGCCTTCCAATTCAACTTCCCCGACCACACCAAGCTGGTGATCTCGCCGGGCCGCACCCGTAGCTCATCCCCCTGGATCGACTTCTACCATCTCTCGTCCTCCGCCGCTCGATTCTTCGCCGCAAAAGGCAAAATGCACCCAGCAGGATTCGACACTCGCGCTGTGGCCTCCGACGAGGCTGCCACATTCCTCAGCATCGCGAACGGAGACTCCATCAATTCGACCGAAGACCTTATCCGTGATATCCTTGATGCGAACGCCTTCATCCAGAAAATCGCCTTTATCGAAGATACCCTCAGAGTTTGGATTGAGTTCGGGCGACTTGGAGGTCGTCCGCCCTCGATCGATTCTGCTTCTGCTGATGATTCCCTGCCCGACGAAGCGTTCTGGCAAGGACCACAGGAGCGCTCGCAGCCCAATAGCCCCGGAACGAAGTTTGTCTGGGTGACTGTCGGAGCACCGGATGGCGATGGCCACTATCGGTCCATGATGCTCAAAGATAGTGACCGGGAGCCCAAGGGCCCTCCAGCTGGGGTGGAATATGACAAAGAAATGAATCTACTCAAAAACCGGCTACGTACCCTTGGTCGATGATTGCATCTGCGTTTTCCCCTGCCATTTATCATGGCCACTTTATGATGTCACGAACTTCAGTTATTTTTGCTTTATGTTTATTCTCGTGGCGCGAGATCATGAATGTTTCAAGTCCAAAACCCCAAGTTGTCAATCTTTTTGCTCAGCACTGTTTTTGTTTCCTTCGGCTACTTGCAGCCATGTACATGCCGTGCACTGTCTTGTATCACTGCCCCATGTGATAACCCTCGACCTTGCCATCCCGTAGGCTTGAAATCTTCCTCTACACTCGGGATCATGCGTCTTGTACTGCTTCTTGGCTATCCGTCTGTCAAATTTCCTCCTACGTTCCATTTCCCCCTTCGACCCAACAACATTCTCGCGCTCAGGCGGAGTGGTTATACCCATGCTGAACTCTGAAAGCGTTCCCGAACTAGCGTCCAAAATTTGAATCACGGCGTCTTTGGTAGTTTGAAAAAGTTCCCTCATAAAATCATAGATATCTAGTCTCACTCCCACCAATATCTCTCTAGGCACCCATTTTCCTAAACTCCAACTTGGAGAACTCCTCCTTTCTCCTGTATGGCCCCGCCGACGCCGGATTTCAACACCGCCCGATGCCAGTGATCGAAGACCCCAATGCGATAATCCGCGTCGCTTGCATCGGTGTCTGCGGAAAGTAATGTGCTTGTGGATTTTTTTAACATAAACCTCACCACCACGTACCAATAAAATCGATGACGGTCTCGAATAATGAGATTACTGCTGAGGGGCCCCGGTATGGGGGTGATTCGAGCTGGCGTTGGAAATGGCCATGTTGGGAAAGGTCAATGCCAAGAGAGGATTGCGTCGAAGTGCATAGTGGAATGCGAGAAAGTGTTGAGTGGTTGCAGAAGCTAGGCTCTAGATTGTGAAAGCTGACAGCTAGTTTGTCTTCCACGATCGTGCCTTTGGGGTGATGTCGAGGGATGGGAGAATCCGAAGAGAGACGAAAGAATCAAGACTTGTATCCAGATTGAACTTTGATTAAGAAAACCATCTGTTGGTGCGAATAAAGACTTGAATTATCAACGTCAGTAGATGTTATTTCATTATACACAACAGAGCTCCATAAATAATATCTAAAGAAAACCCACTACCACGCCCAAGGTCGAGGCTCTATGACATGTCTCCGGTCTGTCCTCATCTCGAAGTCTTTCAAACTGTTGGTAGACTCATCATCATCGCGTAGACCTTGGTTGGTCTCCAAGGCACGATCAAGGTCATAATGTTCAGTCAAGAGGCTGATCACCATCGCCGCAGCCGACACTCCGCAGCAGACTACCCACACCGTACGTAAACTGTCCGTATACGCTTCTTTCAGATTCGCCTTATCAGCGCCATCCGCCATGGCCTTGATGACTTGAACCAAGCCCGCTGCATCTTTGCTGTACGCCCCAGCCATAGGAGCCAGGGCAGAATACCTCGAGATATTGGTGAACATGCGATTCTGGAAGACAACCCCCCCGACAGCAACTCCGATCGCTTGACCAAGAGCACGGAAGAAACTAAACATGGCAACTGCAATAGCAAGGTTCTCAGGGTCCGCCGAGGCCTGCACTGCATAGCCAAGAGATGGGAAGAGAATACCCAATCCAAGGCCTGGCACGATGTTGAGAAAGATCCATCCGACCATGCTGGTGTTCACCTTGATCAGACACATCAAACCCAACCCGACAGTTGAAAAGGCCCATCCGAGCCAGATAGCCCATCGGTAACTGCCCGTGACCGTGATCAGGACACCGGCTACCATCCCACTCGGAGCCACAGTGAATGTCTCAGGGAATAGAGCAACGCCCGAGATGATGGGGCTATACTCCTTCACTGCTTCGTAGTAGAGAGGGAGGTAATAGAGAGCACACCATAGAATCAAACCCTGCAAAACACTCCCAATGAACGAAGCTATTGCCGTACGGTTCTGGAATATCACAGGCGGGACAATGGGATCGGTGGCGAAGTAAGTCTCGTAGAATCCGAAAACGATCAGCCCGACTCCACCTACACAAAGAGGAACAAGTGTGTGCCACGAGCTCCAGTCGTATGAGATACCACCCCAGCTGAGGGGGATCAAGAAGGACGACAAACTTCCGACGAACAATGCGGTACCGAAGTAATCGATTCGACGGAGCTTCTCGACTAACGAACTGGGTGCAAGCTTGAGGTTCAAGAATAGGATCACAAGCACTCCGCCGACCCCGATGAATGGGAAGTTGATATAGAAGATCCATCTCTGATCATAGTTAGCACGAATAAGCGCGTGGTCACCTTGGGCCACCTTACCCACGACACATTTTCAGAGAATCCACCACCAAGGATAGGCCCCGTCACGGATCCAACACTCCACATTGCACTGAGAATACCAAAGTATTGACCACGCCATCGTAGAGGGACGAGATCAGTTATGATGACTTCGCTTAGGGATATAATGCCACCTCCGCCGACACCTTGGATTGATCGACCGATCAACATGTAGGTGAAATTGTTGGCAATTGCTGCAATAATAGCGCCAACACAGAAAAAAACCAGGGAGATTATAATCATAGGTCGACGGCCGAAGATATTCGAGAAGGAGGCGAAGCTTGGTTGGAATACTGTGGCAGTGTCAAATCGATTAGTTGCATCATTGTAGATAGCAACATGATACTACCAACCTGTTGAGCATAGCAGGAACGAAGTCCCACTCCAGAATGCCTCAATAGCTGTTCCATTGAGTTCTTTTGCAATTTCCTGGGCGTGATGAGCTTTGAGACATACAGTCTTCTTGCTGAAGCACTCACAGGTAAAGCAACAGATAGCGAAGTCCCGTCCAAAGCAGCCATCAAGGTGAGAACAGACAAAGTAAAGAAGACTAGGATTCCCCTTCGACCCAAAGCAAATTTCTCTTCTTCGACTTTTCTTTTCCGTTTAATCACTGTAGAGGCTCTGCTCATAGTATCGTCATATTCGGACCTCCCGGGTCTATAGAATGGGAAATCTGATTCTGCCATGTCGGAGATCAACGGTGGTGAAGACAGCGTAGTAGTTAGAAGACAGTAAAAACGTTAAGACTAATGTTCACTGGTTGTAGAGCATCTATCGGAAAAATTTCAAAAATTGATACGGCGATTCGCATTGTGGATAGATAAATAGCATCTAGTAGAGCACCTATCCACTCGATGCGGAATTGGCAATATCCCATGTAGAGTTTAGAACAGGACGAAAAATTGCTCTGTCGTGATACTCAAATCCCGACTCTGCTGGCTATGATCTCAATCTTTGTGTTATACAAAAGGAGATTAATCTCAAGGGTCTCCACGAAACCACTGGTTGGGGCTTAAATTTGGCCGCATCAAGCCAGTTAGCTTGCTAAGAGTCGGCGCAACTCACTCTCCGTGTCATCAGTCGGGGCCGGGTAGTTGCATGGATTTTACGATGATGCATCATTGTTTCGAGTTTGTGTTGGGATTTTGATGGCTTGACCTCGTTTTGCGGGATCTTGATCGCGGCTATCCTTACATCGGTTGACTTTAGTCAAGACTGAAATGCGTTTGATATAATGAGCCTGGATTTTGAACACGATGAGACTCGATGATTTGAGCCATAGGACTCAAAAATCTCGTCTCTACACTTGTGCCACGCTAAGAGATCAAAATGCTTGGTTGTCGCACAGGTAAAATTTTGTCTCGATTTTGAAGATCTGGAATTCTAGCCAGATTGAACTGTCCACGGTTAGTATTTAAATAGCTAGGTCTCGCATCAAATTCCCTATTCTCTGCTAATGACTAGCATAAGACCCAACGGAATCTCTCGGGGTCTCGCGCGTCTTCTCGGATCAAACCTACCAATAATAACCCAGGCATTTTCTGTAATAATAGAGAGACATTCAAACACCTACCCGTCACATATTCTAGGAAACATCTTGTAGTCGCTGCCACTCAACACGGACAATCTCTGGTAGTTTATCCAAGAGACTGGGCCATGAGGGATTCCATCCCAGGATCTCTTGTACCCGCAGTGAGCGACCACGAGATTCCATCCCCCAACTGAGTGCCTCATATCCCGCCCTACATGCTTCTTGGCGTTATTGGGGCCGAGGGTCGAGTGCTTCGGTCTTTGCCTCGGACAGGTACCCCGGTTTTGTGGCTGCCTCTGCCGTAGCCTGAGCTAACTCACCCCAGCAGTGTTCCCCATTTTCGGCAAGGCAGTATGCCCTAGGACCCCAGAGCCTGTCATCAGTTCGGCCTGCAACCGCCGCTTCAATGGGTAGAAAGTATACATCACTCAGATCACGGATGTGGACGTGATTTGAAATTGACTGCCCGGCGCCGATTATCGGGCCCTTCTGGCGACGAAGCTTCATATTGGCTAATATGTATAGCTGGCGCGAATGTTAGTTGACCGGACATTGTCCTTTGCCTGCTGTGGGCTTAGAAGTTTAATTCTTCTAGTTGAAATTGGTAAGTTCGTGTGGTAAATCGTAGGCGGACAGACGAGTGCCGTCTTGAGCACTTCGGCATGCTGGGTTCCAGCATCGAGGACGAGCTGGTCAACATTTCGATGAAAAACGTGAGCTGGTAGGCCAAGCAAATCATCGACTCCATCCCAGTCATTGTGCACATGCTCGCTTTCAGTTCCGTATACGTTCTTGTCGCTGTCTTCCCATGTCAGGATGCCAGTTCCTCGGGTGTGTAGCAAGTAGCCTGGTTTCTCCGTGGTATGACCGGCGACCAAGCCGGCTATGATGGCCTTTGTAGCCCCCACATGATTTGAGACATCTGCAGTGTCTATTTTGCCTGAGTAAGCAGGGTCTAGATAGCATCATGCTTGAATCAACACCGAGTGGGATGCTTACACAGCACGATGTCTGCAGCTGCACTTTCTCGTTCTAGCAAGGCTATATCATCCAGGTCTCCAATCACGATGCGCAAAAATGGGCACTGGGCCTTCACTTGTTCGGCCTTTTCGGTGGTGCGAGCAAGGATCTAAGATGTGAACTCTGGGTGGTTGGCAGCAAGTGTCGCTAGGGTGTCGCCACCGATGTAGCCTGTGGCACCTGTGCTGGGGCACTGTTAGAGCTAGTTTTTTTAAAAAATTAAGAGCCCAAGCTCACATAACCAGTGTGGCCATTTTTGTGAATGTTCAAGGAGATGAATGTGGGAGGCTCGACGTCACATGTTCCCCGCAATTTCCCCCGTTTCCCCGCATTGTCTAAACTTTGAACGGAACACACAAAATATCTCGAGTTCGGCAACCGTGGAAATGCTAGCTTTTCGATCTTTCCGTTATTATTACAGTAACATCCATGCATACTGAATTCAATGAGACAGAGGAGAACAGTTCGAGGTTTTCATACAAGCTAGCTTGCCACATATTGAAAATCACAATAGCTTTGGTTTGCCAGTGAAATTTTGTTTACCTTGAAAAATGGCCTAATATCGTTCTACTTCTATCGATAGCTTCCTCGTCTCTGGCAATCTCCAAGATTCTCAGCAAATCTTTATATTTACCTAATTTTAATCCCAAGAGTCGCGGCTACTCTCGGAGAGCGACCTTGCGAGAGATGTGTAGATCCACATGGGCTTTTTTTTTCATTTGTCAAAGCTGACTCAGCCTCGTAGTAACTCAAATCGGAAGGAAAAAGCTGGTTGCCTTTGTATGGGAAAGCGCTCAGCTGTCCATAAAAGGGGCCACGGTGACCTTCCCCAACCAAATTAGCCGACGGTCACTGTGGCTGAGTTTAGTGTGGGGTACTCTGGTATAACATGTGCTCCGTACTCCGTACGGGGTACGGAGTATCAATTCCCGACGGGCCGAGTTGTTACTGGAACCTAGAGAGCGCTGTAGCCTGCAGCTCTGGGGTGCCTAGGTGCCAAGTGTTGGATTTATAAGCAGGCGAAATGGGAAGAGTTGAAGAAAGATGGCACCTTTGCTCTGAAAGATCAAGACTTCAGTCGATAGAACCCTACGATTTGGTCAAGCCGTTGTTTTTGGTTCCTTTTCTCAGGTGAATGCAAGCCACGAGCCGCGCTTTCTCAAAATGTGGCACATGACCAGCCGCTTCATGAAGGAGCTTCGGGTCCTTGCTGAATACGAAACCTTGCATTAAAGTGGATACTAGTCGTTTTCAACACGTGCCACCAAATTCTCTTTCATCGTCCTTTTAAAGTGTTTGATGTTACCACACTGGCATTCAATACTAGTCACTGGTTTCTTTCGCATTGTGTGATCGTAAGATTCGTATCGTCAAGGACGTAGGAAGAGTTTACTAATAAAACGAAGACTAGATTAATGAAAATACATCTCAGAGACGTAAAGGAAGAATGTTGAAAGTGAATTGACAGAACACATGCCGCAGAATTCCAAATTGTGTGCTTTTACCAGGATGTCAAAGGCCTCGGCAGTGTCCTACTGCACTTTTCATGTATCATGTCTCGGGATGACATTACCGGTTTCCGTCCGAGACTGATTATTATCCTACTTGTCTTATGTAACTTTTTTTTTTCATACCTGTTGCTGTTGGGAGGTCACTGCGTAGGGGGGTGCACACGAATGATCACTTGCCAGATAATTGCAACTTAACCCTCGCCACGCGAATTATTTGTTCTTTCGTTCGAAGGTTAGAATAAAGTTTGGTTTTAATTAGTGATTGTTTCTGAAGACTCTTGGACAACAACCTACCGAATGTTATGCGGGGAAACCGGTTCAACAAAATGATACACCGACTAAATACGAATACGAAGGCCAACCACGGCTGTGCCGATTTCTCCATGCTCGGAGCAAAGCATAATCTCCGAGTAATGCAAAAATTCCACCGAAGGAAGTCTTATAAGCGGGCTGTGATTTCTCCCTTTCTTACCTGTAAAGGTTATGCACTATGGCAATGGCGCTTTTCCAGTATCTTACTGTGGTAGTAGGCCTGTCAGTTGTCTCAACCGCCACAACCCCAAACAACAGCTATGGAACCTTCATAAACCCCTCTTCTCAAGTGCGACCTTTCTTCAGGTACTGGCTACCAGATGCTAGTGTTGATCCGACGGTCGTAGCCTCTGATATCCGCTCCGCTGCAGAGGTTGGTGCCGGGGGCATCGAGTTCCTCGGTTACTACGGGTATGGAGGCGATGCTGTGGGAAGCCCGCCCGGGTCCGACTGGGTGACATATGGGTTTGGCAGTGCACCGTTCCAGCATTTATTGCAGGTGGCCTTGGAAACTGCCAAGGAGAACAATGTACTCGTGGATATTGCAATGGGTCCGAACCAAGGGCAGGGGGTGCCTGCGTCTTCGGATGATGACGGTATCCAATGGGATCTGGTGGGTGTAGTTTACCGCGATGCATGCTGCATTTCATTTTACTAAATTTGTTTTTGATAGGTACCATTTGTCCAGAGAGTGCCAGTTAATCAGACGAGGGACCGTATCCCAGGGTGGGGTGAAGGAGATCTAGTTGCCTGTGTCATTGCCTCAGCAGACAGCATGGCAAATGTGTCTTTGGCCAGTGGATCCGGTTCCTTAAGCACCACGCCGCCTCAGGAGTCATACATCGAGTTGGTCCTAGACGAGGAATCTCTTCAAGACGTATCACAAAACGTGTCGTCAGATGGAATCCTAGCATTGCCATCGTCGTTGTCATCACGCGATCTATTTGTGTTCTCCTTCTATCAGAAGAGGACCCTGCATAAGGCGCTTACAGTAAAGTCTAACCGAACCGACACGATCCTAGCAAATGGCTCGTTTGTGGTGGACCATTTCAGCAAGGAGGGAGCTAGGACAATGATCAATTACTGGAATGATCACATCCTTACAGAGGAAATACGGCAACTCCTGTTGGATGTGGGAAACTATGGTAAGTTCAATTGTTCTAAAAATCCAAGAAAGTCTACTAACCACGATAATCTAGGCTGGGAGGACAGCATGGAATTCCAGTCCAACATAACATGGACACCGAAGCTGCCGAATGCGTTCTACAAAAAGTTTGGATATCCTCTAGGGAAATTTCTCCCGCTCCTCATTTTCGGCCAGAATAACATAATGGCTCAAGCCAGTAACCCCGGGTTGGTAAGAGCCGTCTTCAAGAATAGCGTGACCACCGACAAATACATCAACGATTATCGCTCCGTGCTGGCTGACGGGTATGGGAGCTTCTTGACCACAATGCGAGAATGGCTGAATCAGGATATTGGACTCCAATACTCAACCCAGGTCTCGTACAACCTGCCTCTGGATGCATTGACAAACATACCAAAGGTAGATGCCCCCGAGTGTGAGAGCCTGCAGTGGAAAGACAACATCGACGGGTACCGGCAATTTACAGGTCCTGCATACCTTTCTGGGAAGAAGGTCGTATCGAATGAAATGGGGGGTGTTTCGTCCCGCGCATACTCCCTGACAATACCAGAGCTGCTGCAAAGCGTGAACAAGGCGTTTGCTGGTGGTGTTAATAGGGTTGTTTTGCATGGCCAGCCGTACAGTGGGAACTACTACGGTACTAGGTAGGTAGGTAG